CTAAAATTGGAACGATACAGAGAAGATTAGCATGGCCCCTGCGCAAGGATGACACGCAAATTCGTGAAGCGTTCCATATTTTTAGAGACTCAGAAACAAATCTCAGAACCCAAAAGCTTTTGGCAGAAATGCGTCCTGTTCCTGCAGTAGGTTACTGGCGCTGGGCGACTCCGGGTGGGAATAGGCTCCGTGCCTTGGCCTGATCCCCTTGGTGGCTCAGTGACCGCCATCCTTCAGAGGCCACTGGACAGTCAGGTTTGGGCCTGCAGCAACAAGACACGTGGGGCCTCACCAGATGGAGGTGGAACCGGCCCTTTCCTCCCCATCTGAATGAGACCCTGAGTCGCTGCCTACAAACAGCCTTTCTGGCTCCTGATCAAGCTGATTAACGACCATGATCCCAGAGACTCAGAAACAAATCTCAAAACTCAGCGGCTTTTGGCAGAAATGCATCTGAACCGCATACAAGGTGGCTGCCACCTCAGAGCTTATAGAACAGCCAGGTATGAGCTGGCAGTGATGGGGCAACTGCAGTCCCATGGGAGGGGGGGGGCGGTACCGGCTCGTCCTTTGTGCCCTACCGAGGTCACGAGTTGCCCCCCACAAGTGGCTCTCTGGCATGGCCATGGCTCCAGAGGCAAAAGGACTTAGTCCAGAGCCCAGCAGCTTATAGCAGAAAAGTGAATGGATCATGTGTTAAACTACGACACCATGCCTCCCCGGGAGGGAAAGGGTGTTGCTCCCTTCTGCCTTTTCCTGCCCCAGCAGCAAGGTGGCCGCCACCTCAGAGCTTTTTGGAAAGCCAGGTATGAGCCGGTCGTGGCAGGACAACTGCAGTCTCGTGGGAAGGGGGGCGGTACCGGCTCATCCTTCATGCCCTACCGAGGTCACTAATTGTCCCCCACGAGCGGCTCTCTGTCATGGCCATAACACCAGACGCACAGAAACCAATTTCGTAATTATCTGGCTCTTTGCAGAAATCCAAAATATTGCGGCCGTGTGATATTATATGATTCTCATAACCAGCTATAGAAAACAAAGTATTTCAAAATGCCTTTTCAGCAATTCTGATTGTTGGCTGGGGGGGGGGGGGATTCTAAACAATAACGGTGCATCTTTTGTCGAAAATAATAAATGTAATCAATGTAGAGAAGAGTTAAGTAGAAATCATCTGCCTCACAGGCATTGGGAGGGGTGTGAGGGGGGTATATTGGGGTTCTTGGTGGTGAAAAATGAGTACTGGTGCAGGGAAAGGTGTTTGATCATTGTATGACTGAGACTTAAACCTGAAAGCTTTGTAACTTCTCCCACAGTGATTCAATAAATAAATATAAGGAGAAAAAAATAAATAAAATTATGAGGGAAAAAAAAGTGGAAAGATGTAGGAGAAAGGTAGAGAATTTATTTAAAAAATAGTGAAGGATAGTGAATAAAAAACTCTTAACCAGCTTATTATATACCGAGCAGAAACTTTTACCAACATAAGTTAAAGATCAACAGAGGCAAGAGAGATTTTTGGGAAATCATACTCCTGAGTACATTTCTAATATTTGTTTACTGTGCTCTTTGAAGGCAAAACAGTGGACTTTTGTACTTGGCCATGTGAGGAGATAGAGTAGAGGGGTAGCAGCTGGAATCCCAGTGTTTGACTCCACCAGAATCTAGACGGAGGTACCGTCACTGTGCTAATGAAATGCAAAGGTATGGAGCTGAGTGCCAGAGGAACAGAGATTCTGGACACGGAAGAGGAGATGGCAACATCTGGTAAAAGTTGGTTGCATGGGTCTAAAGCGTAAGTGAAAGATGTGGGCTAGCTAGAAATAGAGGTTTTTGAATCATCGTCGGGAAGATGGCAAGGGAAACAAGACAGTAAAAATGAAAGAAGGAAATGGAAAGATTGACCAGGGCTTCCTGACAGAAAGACAGAAGGAGGCCTGAGGTTATGAAACCCAACCAAAGCTTTCCCTAGACACTGTGAATCCGGGTCTGAAAGCACCCTTTACGGGCGCACTCAGATCTTAAGTTGTCTGTATTCTCCTGAGGATCAGGATCAAAACCAGCAGTGAAAAGGGGGATTCGTTGAAACCAGAAGCATACCTGGAATTTTTTTTTTTGGGGGGGGGGCTGTTGATGCGCTAAAAAGCCTGGGACTTTGGGGCAGGAGCTGGGCACGCTCATTGGCCCAAGAAGGTGCTCTGGAGGATGTAAGAAGGTGCTCGCTCTGGAGGATGTATCCTGGTGCCTCAGGTCCAGGCCATCTCAGCTTCAGGACAGTTGCAACGGGTGCCCCTGAATCTAGGTACCTTTTCCTCTCTTTATTAAACTCAGCTTTTCTCTCATTTGTGCTTTTGGGGTCACACCCAGCGATGCACAGGGGTTCCTCCTGGCTCTGCACTCAGGAATCACCCCTGGCGGTGCTCAGGGGACCATATGGGATGCTGGGAATTGAACCCGGGTTGGCCACATGCAAGGCAAATGACCTACCTGCTGTGCTGTTGCTCCAGACCCTCATTTGTGCTTTCTTTTATTTCCTCTGGATTTTACGTGGCATCCCTTTACTTGTCACAGTAGTCCTCTGAGCTCCATAGCCGTTTCATTCTTGATTTTTAAGTGAAGAAATTAAGACACATTGAGTCAATTAAGCCAGAGTCGTACATCTAGCAAGTGCTGCAGCTAGATTGATTCTGTTGGTAGTTGTTTAGTTTGGGGGCCACACCCAACCATGCTCAGGGCTTACTCCTGGCTCTTTGCAAAGACATCTCCCTCCTGGTGGGCCTCAGGGGCCAGATGGGCCAAGGATCAAACCCAGGTTGACTGCACGCAAGGCAGACACTTTACATGTCTACTGTTTCTCCAACCTTGCAGCTAGGTTTTGCTCTTAGGTGATCTCTGTGGTTTAAATCTGTACAACTGTCCTAAAATAAAATAATAATGATTATTAATATTGTTATATAATCCCAGCTCTATTTTAAAACTGGAAAACAGAAGCGTCATACCACTTGCTCATTCTACTGAAATTTTGCTTGTTATGATTTAGAACATTATTATTGCTGGTACACCTGTAGAGATTTTGTCTGTTCAGATTGAACCAATGGATATGATAAATTACCAATGAGAAATGTCAGGGGTTTTTTTTTTTTCCTTTTTTATGATGGCTTTAGTTTTAGTCATTCTTTTATCCCCCTTGATTTTTCTCTTATGGTATCTTCTATCATTCTCCCTTGCGAAAGATTTATAGTTCTCGTTTAAGGACTTCAGCCCCATTTATGAGGTGGAATTTCAATGTTGAAAGGTTTTGTTTTTCTTAGAGATTAAGTTATAAATTTGGGGAAGAATTAGGGCACTTTAATCCTAATAGACCGGTCTCTTTGTGGCTGACCCTCACTTTGGAGCAAACCCCTTGGGGAACCTGCAAGAGTTCATGGCATTTCCGCAGCAACCTCCTTTGCCCCTGGGGAACATATAATTTATTGAGCCTCTATTCCCAATCTGCTGTTCATGGTCGTGCTTGTGGTCAGCTAATTGAATCATGCACAGTCGTCCAAAACCTATTTGAACTGTGGTTTGGTGAGAAGACGTTCCAAAACTTACTTTTAAATCTTCGTATCTTAGAGTTGGAAAGGAACTTGAGGAACGTTGGAGCCCAGGCGCTCGGTTTCTGGGTGGAGTGGTGGACCGTGCACAGGGCTGGGGTCCCCGGGACGCTCATCGCTAGAGGAATGGCCAGAGGACCAGGGAAGGACTGCCCAGGGCAGGGTGCTGGATGCGGGATGTGGGATGCTGGGTGAGACTCTCAGGGCGAGACTGTCGCATCACTTTATTTATTTATTTATTTATTTATTTATTTATTTATGGATTACACCCAGGGATGCTCAGAGGCTCGTCCTGGCCTTGCACTCAGGAATTACTCCTGGCGGTGCTCAGGGAACCATATGGGAGATGCCGGGTATCAAACCCGGGTCGGCCGCTTGCAAGGCAAATGTTCTACCTGCTGTACTGTCGCTCCGATCCCTGTCGCATCATTCTACTGGGACGGCTTTTGAGGCTCAGAGTTGGCCTGACCGGAAGGGTCGGCCTGGGTGTCATGCAGGCAGCGACAGCATGTCCCACATATTTAAAATCTCTGCTTTGAAGCCAAAATGACAAGAAGACTGAGAAGACTGTGTAGCCGAGAGGCGTCCAGAGATGGAAGCAGGGGAGAGCTTGGACGGTGGGGTCTGTTCCAGGGGGTGGCAGAAAGGATGGAGCGAGGGTGGGAAGGGGTGAGAGGAGTGGGCAGCACAGCTCGGGGACCAGGTGGTGAGGGCCTGCCGTGCCTCGGTGAGGACCAAGGGCTTCAGGGCGCAAGGACGAGGTCAGCCCGAGGGGTTCCGAAGGGAACTGAGGCTGGCGTGAGAGAGGTTTGAGGCTAGGATTGTGAAGCTCCCAAAATTGTTTTCTATTTGTATTTTGATTTATTTTCAGAATTTTATTCAAGACCCGCCCCTCTCGGAGAGCCCGGCAAGCTACCGAGAGTATCTCGCCCACACGGCAGAGCCTGGCAAGCTACCCGTGACGTATTCGATATGCCAGACGCAGTAACAACGAAGTCTCCAATGGAGACGTTACTGGGCCCGCTCGAGCAAATCGATGAACAACAGGAGGACAGTGTTTTTTATTCAAGACCCATAATTCACACATTCTGCATGGCTGAGGTTTAGGCATTGTACCAGCACCAATCCCACCCCCTGCGTTTTCAGCTTTCCAGCAGGTTCCCAGATTCCCCCCTCCCCCCAAGTTTGCACCTTGACAACCCATTTTTAAGTTGGTGGTTGAAGTTCGGGCCTCTTGTTTTCAGTGCTGAGGTCTGCGGTTTGGATATTCAGCCATATTACCGCTCTGCACCACACTGTACTCACATTCCCCTGACCTCTGCTCCCCACTGGTGGTCTCCGTCTTATTTCTTCTTCCCCTCCCCCCACACCAATGTGTTCTTCAGCAGCTGTTCTTTTGCATTCCAGCTATAAGCCAATAGTGGAATATATCGATGCCCAGTTTGAGGCCTACTTGCAGGAGGAACTGAAGATCAAACGTTCCCTCTTCAACTACCACGACACGAGGATCCACGCGTGCCTGTACTTCATCGCCCCCACGGGGCATTCCCTGAAGTCCCTGGATCTGGTCACCATGAAGAAGCTGGATAGTAAGGTACAACCTCTCCCCCCAACTTGTTTTAGATTATCTGTACCCGAAGGCCCTGACGGGTCCCTGCGTTCCATGTGAGCTGGGTTTTGCTTTATTTTGGATAGGAAGTCTACTCTCGAGTACAGTTTTCAGTTCATGACTGAAACAGTTGGAGGAAAGGACGGAGACGGCCCAAGCACACTCTGTCTCTTCACAGGCCAGGGGCTTCCCCGGGGGACATTTGCTACAGAGAACTCTTGCCATGGGGCGATGGGACGGCAGCAAATGGCAACCCCCACCACACCCTTCAGAGTCTGCCAGAAAGTCTCCCCGTGCTCCGAGGGCTTTTCTGGGTTCCACTCTTTGGACTCACAACACAGTGCTCACCGACACTTTGTTCAGAAGGACAGAGTAATGAGGGGAAAGTGCCGTGAGACCAGCCCATAGAGGCAGAGCCCGGTCCCAGGGCTTCCCACAACATTGCTGTAAAGAAACAGATTCTGACAGCCTCGACCATCCCACTCCCACGGCCGGGCACGTCAACAGAGCCACACATTGGGGTCAGCTGCAGTGTACCAGGATGCTCCACACCCTGGACAGAGCCTGGGGAGACAGAGCCCCGTGCTGGGGGCTTGGATGCAAGGCAGGGAAGGTGGCCAGGAAAGTGGTTCCCTACCAGAGGCGGAGACTGTACCCCTCCCCCAGCCAGTCTGAAGGCAGCATTGGATTTAGGAGAGTTGATTTTGGGGGGTCTGGAGCGGGCACGTACCCAAGCGATGCTCAGGGGTTAACTTCTGGCTCTGCGTGAGCTAGGGGGACTGTCACTCCTAGCAGACTCAGGGGTGCCAGGGATCAAACCTGGGCTGGCCACATGTCAGCCGAGCTCCCCTGGAGCCGAGAGATGACTTTTAAAAGGCTAAGAAAACAAAGCCCAACAAATACAGCCCATGAGAAAGCAACAAGCGCTACACAGCGGGTCAACTACACAGCAGGTGAAACGGCTTTCAGGGAACATATCCCGTTGGCGTGCCAGGGAGCATCTGAAAATCGTCCCGGCACAGGCTGTGCGAGCAGGTCCAGGCGCCAGGCGGCAAAGAGGGCACCATTTGGAAAATGATGCTGAAGCCTTTGCTGTGGAAGGAAAAAGGTTCCCCTTCCCCCCAAAAAAATTTAAATTGCATGGTTTGGCGGATCAGATTGGTGAGGAGACTTTGAACCGCTGCCATTTCATCTGCTTGAAGTCACGGTCTGCTGAACGTGCACAGAGAGTCAGTCAAAGCAACTGAGGAGTTTGGTCCCTCAGGGCCCTCGCCAGAATCCCCCTCCTTGGGGATGGCCCCGCAGCCTCTGGGACGAGACCCGGAGTGGGTCCGAGATGCTGGAGAATAGGTTTTCCTCCCAACTTGTTGACTCATTTGAGTTTGTCAGGGATAGCACAGCGGGTAGGGCGTTCGCCTTACAAGTGGCCAACATGGCCGACCCGAGTTCGATTCCTCCGCCCCTCTCGGAGAGCCCGGCAAGCTACCGAGAGTATTCGATATGCCAGACACAGTAACAACAAAGTCTCCAATGGAGACGTTACTGGGCCCGCTCGAGCAAATCGACGATCAACGGGAGGGCCTTTACCTTTACCCTTACCTTTTATATTTGTTAGGGCTGGAGCAATAGCACAGCACTGGGGTGTTTGCCTTGTGCGCAGCCAGCCCAGCAGAGCCGGGTTCGATTCCTCCACCCCTCTTGGAGAGCCCAGCAAGCTACCGAGAGTATCTTGCCCGCACGGCAAAGCCTGGCAAGCTCCCCGTGACGTATTCAATATGCCAAACACAGTAACAAAAAGCCTCAAAATGGAGATGTTACTGGGCCCACTCGAGCAAATCGATGAACAATGGGAGGACTATAATTGTTACTCTAAGTTTAGGTGATATTTACAATGGTATTTATGTTAATGGATTTTTTTTTTAATAAAACCAATTTGAAGGCCCTGTGATTTACAATACTTTTACCGATATTGTGCCAAGTTTCATGCCTGGCGCATTCCAGCTTGAAGCCCTTCAAAGAGGGACCACTTCCCTCGCTGTGTCTCAGTGTCCCACCCACCTACCCCACCCACCCCAGCTCAGCTTCCCCCCGCAGTTCTCCCCTCTGGTCAGCACCCTCCTGAAAACCAGTCCTTCGTTTCTGTTGATTGGGCACTGGTCATTCTTTGCTCTGTTTCTGTTACGTTTTGCAGTGAGAGACATCATTGTTCCCTCTACTTCTTGTCAGGGGATTATTTTGTGTGTTGGAGTAAAGGGAGATTAGAGGCATGGCGGGGTGACTGTGGCAAACGCTCCGAAGGGGGTCTCCTTGGGGCTGTATCCTCACCAGCTCTAGTCCCCTCTCCAGAGCCCCGGTGGAAGAGTGGGACCCTCAGTCTCACTGTTAGGAGCATTTCATCGAGACCTCGTTACCTGGCAGGATGGAAGGAAGTTCCTCTTAAAAACTGCTACGGGAGGAAGGCATTTGCCTTGCATGTTGATGACCCCTGTATAGTCCCAAGGGCGCAGCCTGGAGTGATCCCTGAACACTGCTGAGAGTGGCCCACTTGGTGTGGCTCAGGATAAGAGCACTTTGCAGCATGAGGCCTGACTTGGATGTCCAATACACCACCACCCCCAAAAGTCCTGTTCAGTGTTCAAGTCTAGCTCAGTTCCACTCTGGAGAAGTGTGTTTTCTCTCTCTCTCTCTCTCTCTCTCTCTCTCTCTCTCTCTCTCTCTCTCTTTCCCCGCCCTGTGTGTGTGAGAGAGAGAGAAAGAGAGAGAGAGATCTAAATTTCTTTCAACAAAAATTCACTGTAGCACTGTCACTGTTGCCCTGTTGTTCATCAATTTGCTTGAGCGGGCCCAGTAGCGTCTCCATTGTGAGAATTGTTGTTACTGTGTTTGACATATCGAAGATGTCACAGGGAGCTTGTCAGGCTCTGCCATGCGGGCGGGATACTACTTTTGGTAGCTTGCTGGGCTCTTTGAGCCCAGGAGGAATCGAACCCGGGTCTGCCCATGCAAGGCAAACACCCTACCCGCTGTGCTATTGCTCAGCCCTCCACAAAAATTATTTTGGAAAAACAAATTGTCAAGTTTGATTAAAAAAAAATGGGTACTGAGATTAGTCAGCTGTGGGAGGGTTGGAAGAAGAATGTTTCACCTTGGAATTGGGGGCTTCACTACAGGGTCCCGTCAGCTGTCGTTGTGGGTTTTCTGCCTTGTCAGATCCGCCTTGGTCTTTATAACCTTCTGAAAGCAAGCGCCGCCTTCGGCTCTGTCTCTCCTGGCACTCAGGAGAACTGTGCTAGAAACTGATTTTCAAAGGAATTCATTGGTGCGACTTTGAAACATTTCAAAGTAGGCGAAACCACCTTTGTTGTGGTTCTCTCCTAGCAGAGTTTAGATCATTAGCGCAAAGAAAGGCTCTGACACACCATTCACGGAGCTGAATGTTCTTCCTTCCTCAGGCGGACTTTGTCGTCCCACTGTTGGGAACAGGCAAGAATCAAACTCAGGGAGCAGGGAGGGTCTGAGGCTGAGGCGTGGCTGCTGCTTCAGAGAATGGGCTTCTTTGTTATCGCGCGCTTCCTTTTACTCTGTGGAGAAGAATGTGGTGGCACCGAGGAGGAAATGACAGGACTGCTTTCTATGCAGGGTGGGAGGAAGTAAAAGTGTTTGGCGATGAGACTAGAAGATTATCCCATATCTGCTGAATTGGGCACCAGGTGGGCGGTTCACGCTCAGTATCTACTTTTATCTCTCGCAGTGTCTCTATTTTCTTAAGTTGGGCTTCACAATTTGTAGGTTTGGTGTAGTTACTCATTTGTTGTCCTTCCCTCACGCGGCAGTGGTGTAAAATCGCATCTGTTTCCTTCCCAGGTGAACATCATCCCCATCATCGCAAAAGCCGACACGATTGCCAAGAACGAACTGCACAAATTCAAGAGTAAGATCATGAGTGAACTGGTCAGCAACGGCGTCCAGATCTATCAGTTCCCCACAGATGAAGAAACGGTGGCAGAGATCAATGCAACCATGAGCGTGAGTCTCCCTGGGGGAAGGGAGCGAGTGGCCGTAGCTCTCCTGGCCTTAGTCTCCCATTTGGTAGATGGAGAAACTGAGGCGGTGGGGGGCGGGGCAGGATCTCAGGACGTGCAGGGAGTTGGGGGAGCTGGATGTCACTGAAGATGGCAGTTTCAGGTCCGAGAGCTCCAGGTTCATAGTTGTAGGGTCGCTTCAGTGAAATGCAGTTGGAAGCTGGCTTGGCCATTTTTCCCTGAAAGCTGGGTTTAAAAATTGATTCACGGGGCTGGAGCAATAGCACAGTGGGTAGGGCATTTACCTTGCACCCGGGTTCGATTCCTAGCATCCCATGTGGTCCCCTGAGCACCACCAGGGGTAATTTCTGAGCGCAGAGCCAGGAGTAACCCCTGAGCCTCACCGGGTGTGACCCAAAAAGCAAAAAAAAAAAAAAAAAAAAATTGATTCACAACGATGTGCTCATGGCAGCGGAAGTCAGTCTAGATGTCATAATTTGTGGTAGGTTCAGATACGATCTGCTCCCTTAGACCTGATCATGAAAGGGGGGTAGTCCAGTCATTATTAAATGCATTTTTGAGGCTTTCTTTTTTTTTTAACGCTGGCAGTTTTATTGCAAGGAGGATGAATGTGCTGTGCAGCCCTCTCTTTGGAGGTACCCAGAGATGTTCAGTCTACTCACAAAGTTGTACTGCCTTTGCCAGAATCAATTGTAGACCGCTTTCATCACCTCTGAAGGAAACCGTGTCCTTTTGGAGCTGTAGGTTGAATTATTTCAGCCATGGGAAATCACTAATGGACTTTCTTGCCTACATAAATTTGCCTGTTCTGGACAGTGCATAGCAAGGGAGTCATTCCGAGGCTCCTGATAATTAAATGACCTGATCAAGGCTATCTAGTTAGCAGGAGCACTGAAGCCGCACCCCAGTTTCTCCGGATTGCCACTCTTGTGTAGCATGTCATCCTGAGATCCTAGGAGGGGATCAGAATCATTGCACAAAATGAATTCTTATTTCTTCAGGCCAGCCTATGGGCTTTTCTATAAATGGGTGGTTATCATTTTGGGGAGGAAATTCTTCCTGAGATCATGCCCAGTGTGATCAGGCGTATGGAAGCAAGTGTCACCTTCTACAACAGCTTTTCTATCGTCTTGTAAATAAAACAGGAAGCAATCTCACTCATGGAGAGAGAGTCCCTGTCCTGTTCAGCCCAGTCTGGTCACCCCCAGGTCACGTGACTCCCTGTGACAGATACTGTTTTGTGGCATGTTCCTTTCTTTCCCATGGGCAGCAGAGGTTCTAGGATCCCTGGAGGAAACCGAAGAACAGACTCTTCCTGGAAAGTAGTCAGGAGGGGCTGTGAAAATAAGGTTATCAGGGCTGGAGCGATAGCACAGTGGGTAGGGTGTTTGCCTTGCACACAGCCAACTGGGTTCGATTCCCAGCATCCTATATGGTCCTCCGAGCACCGCCAGGAGTAATTCCTGAGTGCATGAGCCAGGAATAACCCCCGTGCATCGCCGGGTGTGACCCAAGAAGCAAAAATAACAGTAATAATAATAATAAGGTTATCATTATGGAGAGGAAGGGTGCCGTGTTTGTTCATAAGACAGAACCCAGACTCAGGGGCAGAAGGAGCCGCGAGGTTTGGGCCCAGCTGGTCCCGAATGCTGAAGTTGGGGCCCTGGAACCACACGGACGGCAGCTGAGAGATGCTCTCCAGCAGTGAGTGCTCCACCAGCCATTACTGCAAGCAGATTCTGTTTCAGCTCACTTAGAGGAAGCTATGTCAAGGGCATTCGTGTGCAGTATCCAACCAGATAACGGGCAAGATCTCTTTCACCCTGAAAAGTCGTCTCTAGTTACAGGTATCAGTGAGTGAGTCGTTGTGGCAGCAAAGGTTGACAGAAATTGTTTCACACAAAGGAATTCTAAAACAGTGAGGTGAAGAGCCAGAGAGATGGTCCAGGCCCAGACTCTTGCCTTGCATCTACTCAGTCCAGGTTCCCTGGCATTGTATAGGGACCCCGGCCCTGTCGGAATGACCTCCTGAGCCACATGTGGCCCCCAAGGCAAAACAAACCAAAAAATGCCAGACAAGTTATACAAAAAATTTTACAGTTGAATATATGTAAGTCATATATACTTACTTTGACGCTGCTTTCAGTTTCTTTTTTTTTTTTTTTAATAATTTATTTCTTTATTGAATCACTGTGGGAAAAGTTACAGAGCTTTCGGGTTTAGGTCTCAGTCATGTAAATATCAAACACATTTCCCTTTACCAATACTTATTTTTAACCGCGAACCCCAATAGAATTCCACCTCCCACCCCTCCCAATTCCTGTGAGGCAGTTGAGTTCTAGTTAATACTCTATCTACTTTGACTAGATACCTTGTTTCGATAGAAGATGCACAATTATTGTTTAGGGTTTACAACCCCCCCCCCCCCCAATCAGACATGCTGAAACAGCGTTGTGAAATGATTTGCTTCCTACAACTTGGTTTAAGAATAAAATTTTGGATTTCTGCTATTTTACTTATTAACCCTGGAAGAATTTCTATTAAAAGTTAGATAGTTAAGAGATTGGCTTCTGTGCTCTGGAGTTGTGGCCGTGCGGGAGAGCCGCTCGTGGGGGGCAGCTGGCGACCTTGGTCGGGCGTGAAGGACGGCCCAGAACGCCCCCCCCCTTCCCATGAGGCCCCTACCGCCCCCCGCCCCCGGCTCAAACCTGCTGTCCACAAGGCTCCCGTGCGGCCGCCATGTTCTTTCCAGAGAGGAGCAGGCGAGCGGGACAACACCCTTTCCCCTCCGGGCAGGCATGCTGGCGTGGTTTAACACATAGTCCATTTGCTTTTCTGCTCCAAGTGGCTGGTTCTCTGTGCTAAGTCCTTGTGCCTCCGGGGCCGTGGCCGTGCCGGAGAGCCGCTCGTGGGGGGCAGCTGGCGACCTCGGTCGGGCGTGAAGGACAGCCCATTACGCCCCCCTTCCCATGAGGTCCCTGACGCACCCCCCCCCCCCCCCGTGCTTTCATTTTCTTAAGTGAAAATGAGAGTCAGTGGGGCTGGAGTGATAGCACAGCAGGTAGGGCATTTGCCTTGCACACGGCCAACCCAGGTTCGATTCCCAGCATCCCATATGGAGAGCAGAGCCAGGAGCAACCCCTGTGTATTGCCGGGTGTGACCCAAAAAGGAAAAAAAATAAATGAGAGTCAGTGCACGTGTGTCTGGACGCTAGAGCCCTGCTAATCCCCGTTCCCTTGCAGGTCCACCTCCCGTTTGCAGTGGTCGGCAGCACCGAGGAAGTGAAGATTGGCAACAAGATGGCGAAGGCCAGGCAGTACCCCTGGGGTGTGGTTCAGGGTAAGCTCGTGCTGCGGGAAGGGCCTCTGCACTCTGCACTGTGGGCGGTGAGAGACACAGGGAACGGCTGGGTGGACCCTGGAGAGGGGGGAACGGGTGGGTCCCTGAGCCTTGTGTGGGAAATGTCCTCTAGACCTCTGGGCCCTCAGAGTTCCGGCAGCCACATCTGAGAAAGTCGTGCAGAGTGCGTCGGGCATGAGAACACTTGTTTCTCCTTTTTCTCTGAGAGAATTGTCTTCCTGTGTGCTTACCTCAGCTAGCTAACTCTCCCACCTAAACATGACACCGTGGCTGTGAGTAGCTTCTCGTGAGAAGATCCTTCCTCCTGCGTCACTCTGCATGTCCAGACCACAGTTCCCACACAACCCCCCCCCTTTTTTTCTTTTTGGGTCACACCCGGAGATGCACAGGGGTTACTCCTGGTTCTGCACTCAGAACTTACTCCTGGTGGTGCTCAGGGAAACATATGGGATGCTGGGAATCGAACCTGGGTCGGCCGCATGAAAGGCAAATGCCCTACCTGCTGTGCTATCACTCCAGCTCCCATAGTTCACTTTTTTAAAAAAAAATTTTTTTAATTTGTTAGCTACCGAGAGTATTCGATATGCCAGACACAGTAACAACGAAGTCTCCAATGGAGACGTTACTGGGCCCGCTCAAGCAAATCGACGATCAACGGGAGGGCCTTTACCTTTACCTATTAAATCACCATGAGTCCCTGTTACAAAGCTTTCATATTTGAGTTTGTCATACAATGATCGAACACCCATCCCATCACCAGTGCACATTTTCCACCGCCAGTGTCCCCAGTATCCCTCCCCACCCCACCCACTCTCCCACCCCACCCTCTGCCTCTATGGCAGACAATTTCCTTCTTTCTCTCTCTACTTTTGGGCATTGTGACTTGCAATACAGAGAGGTCATCGTGTTTGTTCCTTTATCTACTTTCAGCACACATCTCCCATCCTGAGCGATTCCTCCACCCATCATTGACTTAGTGATCCCTACTCTATTCCAGCTGCCTTCTCCCCCTGCTCATAAGGCAGGCTTCCAGCCGTGCAGCAATCTTCCTGGCCCTTGTGTCTACTGTCCTTGGGTATTAGTCTCATTATGATAATTTTATATTCCACAAGGGCTGGAGTGATAGCACAGTGGGTAGGGCGTTTGCCTGGCACGTGGCTGACATGGCCAACCCGAGTTTGATTCCTCCGCCCCTCTCGGAGAGCCCGGCAAGCTACCAAGAGTATCTCGCCTGCACGGCAAAGCCTGGCAAGCTACTTGTGACGTATTCAATATGCCAAACACAGTAACAATGAAGTCTCACAATGGAGACGTTACTGGGTCTGCTCAAGCAAATTGATGAACAACGGGAGGACAGTGATATTCCACAAATGAATGCAGTCATTCTATGTCTGTCCCTCTCTTTCTGACTCATTTCACTTAGCATGATACTCTCCAAGACCATTCACTTACAAGCAGATTTCATGACTTCATCTTTCGTAACAGCTGCATAGTCTTCCATTGTGTAGTTGTACCAAAGTTTCTTTCAGCAGTTGTTCTTGGGCACACTGTTTGTTTCCAGATTCTGGCTATTGTGAACAGTGCTGCAGTGAACATACTGGTGCAGATGTCATTTTTGCTGTGCTCTTTTGCACCCTCGGAATATATTCCCAGAAGTGGTATTGCTGGGTCATAAGAAGCTCAATTTCTAGGACTTGAGCTTAAGGAATGCTCATATTATTTTCCAAAAAACCTGGTGTGTTTTGAAGGAAGATGGCTTTAGAATGTGCTTCCCTCCCTTAAAGTCTTTTCCTTTGTTTTGTTCCAAATGGAGACAGTGCATCCGAGAGAAGCCGAAAGAACTAGACCCTTTAAGATGCTGGGAGGTGTTTGATTTTCCATGAGTCTTGCCAGTGACTGCCAAAGGAGCCCTTTCTCCCTGCAGTGTTGGTGCCAGTTCGGGAGGTGGTACTGTAAGGTCGCCTGCCCAGTGTCCAGAGCACACGGAGCAGGGAAGTTGGCTGCGCTCTGGGGTTGAGTATAGCTGCTGCTCTATCCCGGGGTCCGCTTGGCTTCTCCCAGCTGTATTTCTGCATCCATCAAGCAGCATTGCTGTGGCCACAGCATCCCCACTGAGCCCCGAGCTCTCCCCTCAGCTGGATCAGAAGTCGCCTCTTCATGAGGAACGTTCGGCAGATCCCGTAGAGGATCTCCGCGGACTTGGGGGGCAACGACAGAAACGTTGGCAGCCATTCCTGGAAGTGTCAGCCCCGGCGCTGGGTCCCAGTGGTGCTGAGCTGCCCGTCTTTCTCTCTCCCCGTGTCCCGCAGTTGAGAATGAGAACCACTGCGACTTCGTGAAGCTGCGGGAGATGCTGATCCGCGTGAACATGGAGGATCTGCGGGAGCAGACGCACACGCGCCACTACGAGCTGTACCGGCGCTGCAAGCTGGAGGAGATGGGCTTCAAGGACACCGACCCCGACAGCAAGCCCTTCAGGTGAGGGGCGCCGAGGAGACGGAGGGAGGCGACCGCCCAGCCCTGACTGCCAGGTGGTGCCCTCCGCCTCTCACGCTACCCCGTGTCCCTGTGCTGTCCCCAAGGCCAAGGCCGCCCAAGCCCCCTCCCAAGTGTCTCGGCTCCTTGGGTGCGCCCTTCTGTCTTGCTTGCCTTCCCAAGCCTCTTGCTTTGGAGGTGTTGGAGGGTTTTTGTTTTTTTGAAGTAAAACAGATTTTTATTTTTATTATTTATTTATTTATTTGCTTTTTGGGTCACACCTGGCGATGCACAGAAATTACTCCTGGTTCATGCACTCAAGAATTACTCCTGGTGGTGCACAGGGGACCCTATGGGATGCTGGGAATCGAACCTAGGTCGGCTGCGTGCAAGGCCAACGCCCTACCCGCTGGGCTATTGCTCCAGCCCCAGTAAAACAGATTTTATTTGGTTGTTTTGAAGGGAAGGAGGAAGAGAAAGTGAGTAACGTGCTCAAGAGAGAACTCGGGCTTCTCCAAGGGTGAAGTGAGCCCCTATACAAACCCCAGCATTTAGAGAGGGAAGCATGAAAGTCCACATCTCAAGGAGGGAGAGGTGGGCGACACATGTGCTTGGGCACCACCTGTGTGCTCAGCTGCGTGGGCGCAAGCAGCACCTGGGCTCGGGCAGCTGCGCCCCTGGGGGTGTTTTAAACTCTCAGCCCTGGGGCGGGGGGCAAGAGCACAGTGGGTAGGGCGTTTGCCTTGCACGCGGCCAACCCGGGTTCGATTCCCAGTATCCCATTTGGTTCCCTGAGCACCGCCGGGAGTAATTCCTGAGTTCAGAGCCAGGAGGAACCTCTGTGCATCGCCAGGTGTGACCCAAAAAGAAAAAAAACAAAAAATTAAATTCTCAGCCCCCGTCCAGTTCTAGGTAGCGAGAGCAGGGTGGGGAAAGTCACGTAAAGACGATTCCTTAGGATTTTCTCCCATCATGGATGGCTAAAGATGAAGCAAACACCAGGTTGCAGGCGGGAGCGGGGGTGGTGTGAAACCTCAGAGGTGATGGGCATGAGCTGGCAGAGGTGGCAGGGGTGGAGGACAGTGGCCATCCCCGGTGGTAGCGGGAGCTGATACAGAAGAGACCGACTCATCCGGGGTGGACCCCGTAGTGAGTTCATGGGGATCAGAGTTGAGGGTGTGGGGTGCTCTGGGCCCGGGGCCACACTGCTTGGAAGTGACTGTGCCGTCCTTTTCCTGTCCAGGCAGGTGGGAGGCAGCTGGCCGGAGTGCCTGAGGTGGTCTGCACACTGCCCCCCCCCCCCCCCCGGCATCCTCAGATCCCAGCTGCCACTGAGGCCGTTTTTGGCACTGCATTAGACATAGAATCGGTTAGAATCTGGACTTGCCTGCTGGTGCGGTGCTGCTGTGAGCACTTGGAGAACCCAAACCCAAAGCTGCTTTGGGTCATACCTGGCGATGCTCAAGGGTGACTCCGGACTTTGCACTCAGGAATTACTCCTGGCGGGGCTGGGGGGAACATATGGGATGCTGAGGATCGAACCTGGCTCGGCCATGAGCAAGACAAACACCCTACCCGCTATACTATCTCTCTGCCTCTCAACCCCCCAGACCCAAAGCTTCTAACCCAGAACTGACTTCCCTGCGTTTCCCATCTTCCAGTCCTGCCTGGGGTGCTCATACTGCAGACCCTCTGCTCAGGCACAGGAAATGTGGCTCTGAGGCCTGCCTCCAAGTGCCTTTGGGGCCGCACAAGGTTAGCTGGCCTTGTGATGTAGCGGCCGAGAAGTCATCCCTACAAAACACGCTCCCTAGGGCGCGTAAACCTGCTGGAAATGGTTGGGGGGCCCGAGAGAGGCTCTCTTTGTTTTTTCTTTTCCTTTCATGCGTAGACAGAGAACTAAAGGCACTCGGAGTAAAATGAGACTTGCTTTCTTCCTCTGTGACATCAAGAGCCCGTCTGGTTCAGGGACCAGTCAAAGCCCTTTTTGTGTCACGGACCAGAGCGTCAGTATCCTCGGCTCTGCCGGCCGTGTGGTCGCTCTCAGAAGGACTCCGGGGACCCTGGCAGAGGGGCCTGGCCATGTGCTCAGGGACGGCCGGCCACAGGCTTTCTACCCGCGGGCCCCTCTCCCAGCTCAGACAGCAGATGCCCACGTGCCCTGCTTGTCTGAAAGGAGGAAAGTCACCTGCCTGATAGTAAGATTCGGCCTCTCCCATCCCCTACCTATTGGCGCTGTGATGTTGCTGCACCCCCTAGGTCCCCCAGAGGGCGCTCCTTGGGGTCCTTGGGAAACCCGGGGAGGGTGAGGACTTCTGAGGCTTGTGATGAATCATCTGCTTGTTCCTCTGGGAGGAGGTGTGGCTGGCTTCCCCAGAAGGGCCTGGTCCAGGGGCTGGAGTGATAGCACAGCAGGTAGGGCGTTTGCCTTGCACACGGCTGACCTGGGTTTTATTCCCAGCATCCCATATGGTCCCCCGAGCACCACCAGGAGTAATTCCTGAGTGAGGAGCCAGGAGCAACCCCTGTGCATCTCTGGGTGTGACCCAAAAAGCCAAAAAAAAAAGAAAAAAGTTCCAGGTCCAGCCCACTACCCTGGCCTCCCTGAGCATAAGGGGTTTCCAGATCCCTCCTCGGTGAGCCTGAGGTGGGGAACCTGTTTTATTCACATCCTCCACCCCCTCCACATTGGGTTTCACTTCTCCAGACCCAAGGTTTCCTTTTGATGTGAAAAGGGGAGAGGGAATGGGTAAGGCCATTTTCCTTTTCCTTAACATACAGGCAAGTAGACTATCTGAAGTAATTCCTCTTACCGGCCGGGGGCATAGTGCAGCAGGTAGGGAGCTTGATTTGCATACAGCCGACCAGGGTTTGATCCCTGGCACCACGTATGGTCCCCTGAGCACTCCCATGACGAGCCCTGAGTTGCAGAGCCAGGAGTAAGCCCTGAGCAGCACCAGGAGTACACTAAAACCAAAACAAACAAATTCTATGATCTCTCAACGCCTAGGAATACTGGAAATTGTTTCTTCTCTTAGAAACCTGTTTATTTAGAGGCCAGAGAGGTAACATATCTGGTAAGGTGCTTTTCTTGCACTCTGCCTACATGGGTTCGATCCCCAGCACCTCCTATGGTCCCCCAAAGCACTGCCAGTTGTGGCCCCAAAACAAGTAAACAAAAAAATCTCTTCATTTAGACTCGGCTGGGGGCTTCCATGTCCTGCCCCTTTCTTCCTCCCTCCTCCCCCCATTTCGGGAGCATGGTTTGGAAGGTAAAGATTGCTTTTTTTTTTAATGAATTTTTATTTTATTTTATTTATTTTTTAAATTTTTATTAGTGAAACACCATGAGGTACAGTTGTAGACTTACAGATTTTTGTGCTTGGGTTTCAGTTATACAATGATCAAGTACCCATCCCTCCACCAGCGCCCATTTCCCATCACCACGGATCCCAGTATCCCTCCCACCCCCCATCCCCCCCATCCCACTTTGCCTCTGTGGCAGGGCATTCCCTTTTGTTCTCGCTCTCTCCTTTTGGGTGCTGTGGGTTACAAGAGAGGCATTGAGTGGCAATCATGTTTGGTCCATAGTCTACTTTCAGCATGCATCTCCCATCCTGGGAGGACCCTCCCAACACCCTTTATTTGTAAAGATTGCTTTTGACTCACAAACCTTAGCAGGTAATACAAGTAACAAGGTGACATGAACTTGGTTCCTTTCCTTGGAAGCCACCACTTTATAAAGACCCCAGCACAGCCCGTGATGAGGTTCCTCGAAGCAGCCAGGCAGTTAAAGAGGAAGTGCGGCTGCCGTGGGTCCCCGATATCACTCCCAGAGTCGACTTCAAGTTTGTCACTCCTGTGGGCACGTCAAAGAATCCCCCCCCCCCCCCCGCCCCGAAGGCCAGAGAGATGGCATAGTGGGTAGCCCAGGCTTGGCCTCCCATAGGACTTGGCCCTTCAAGTCCTTCCAGGAGTGCTCCCTGAGCACAGAGCCAGGACTGAGCCCTGAGCACCACTAGATATGGCCCAAGAAAAAGAAGAAGAGGAAGAGGGGGAGGGGTTCCCACCCTGGAGGTTGATCGTGGCCCGCTTCTGTGCTCCTGAGGCCCAGGAAGGAGCCTTTCTTAGCAGTCTCTCTCCTTCCTCATCTCAGTTACCTCTGACCTTTGGGTCTGGGAGTTAGGGAGCAAAGAGAAGTGCCTGTTCTCACCATTCTCTCAAGAGGGCACCAGGCCCGTTTGTTGAGTGACCAGGAGGACCTGGGCTCAGCAACCGAGTTGAGAGGTGAGGTTGGGTTTCAGTTAGGTGAGCGGCCCGTGTGCAGGGCCAGCTCTGACCCCTGCACCATGAGATCTATGTGGGTCCGAGTCCCTCTGAGCCCAGAGCGCGGGGGAGAGAGGAGTCGGCCATCCTGGGCTGAGTGCGGACTCAGAAATCCACAGTGGGACACTACTCCAGCCGAGGGCACCCACTCGGGACATGGGGACCCTAGAGCGGAACTGTGTCGAATGCGTCAGCAGGGGCAGGGTGAGGCCGGGTGCCGGCCCTCATCCTTCCCGCCCTGGGCTCCTGGGTACTAAACCCGCCTCTAGCAGGGGCTGGTGAGAGAAAAGGAGAAGCTCATGTCCCCACCTGCACGCCAGCCCGAGACCTGATAAGCTGCACATTTCTCACCTAGCGAAGGGCGTTAATAACGGCAATTAAAAATTAAGGCAGAAGAGCTAAGAGTTGCCAAAGCTGCATCGTCACTTCAGGGTTCTGTGAATGGATTCCACGGGACCTGCTCCTCCGGGTCTGGTCTTCCTGACAGACGAGTCAAGGGTCAGGAGGGGGCCTGAGATGCCTTGGTTGATCTAAGTCATTTCTTCTCTTCCCACTCCCATTCTTGACCGAGGCACCATGCCTTAAAGCTCATAAGAGTTTCATTTTGCTTTGGGTTTGGGGCCATACCTGGCAGTGCTCAGGGGTCATTCCTAGAGGTGCCTGGGATGCTGGGGATTGAATCGGGGTCAAGGCAAATCCCCTCCCTTCCGTACTGCTGCCCCAGTGCCTGGACTAAATCAGTTCTGCGTAACTCACTATTGTTGTGACCCTTGGTGTAAACGTTTACAATCTTCCTTTCACATTCCCTGTCTTGGGCTTCCTTCCGTTGCTGGTTCCATCCTGGGATACTGAGATGTAATGAGAGGCATTTCTTTTTTCCTTTTTTTTGCTTTTTGGGTCACACCTGGCGATGCTCAGGGGTCACTCCTGACTCTGCACTCAGGAATTACTATTGGCGGTGCTCGGGGGACCATATGGAATGTTGGGAATTGAACCTGGGTCAACCATGTGCAAGGCAAACGTCCTACCTGCTGTGCTAACACTCCAGCCCCTGAGAGGCATTTCTTGTGTGTATTTTTTGTTTTTGTTTTATTTTTGTGATTTATTTGTTTGGGGGCCGGGCCCAGAGGTGCTCTGGGCTTTGCACTCAGGGGCTACTCCTGGCTTAGGCACCTTCGGTGGTGTTGGGTATCAGACTGGAGTTGGCAATATGCCAAGCAAGTTCTTACCCACTGTACTACCTCTCTGGCTCGCTAGTGGCATTTGTGAAGCCCCTGTGTCCCTCATCCGACACTCCCGGGATTTCTCCCTAGCCCTCATCCTCTAGTTTGAGGCCCGTCTTCAGTGGCCAGCCCAGACTTCCCGAAGTATCTGTGGGCTCCGGGAGTCCTGTCAGAGACAGACCGTTAGTGCTGCATTGTGTTTGCTGACTTACCGCTGGTTCTTGGGGGTCTTGTCTGAGGGGCACCGAACTAGCTAAATATGGGGGGGGGGGGCGCGACTCGGTGCCCTTTAATCTGTTTTCCGGTCTGCGGCGACTTTAGCTAATGTTTCTAAGTGGGTGGCTTGAGAGGATCTGAATTGCAGTTTCTTACTCTGCATCAAACATCCTGACATCATCCTTGGTTTGTGACTTTTGACTAGTCTTCAGGAGACCTATGAAGCCAAAAGGAACGAATTTTTGGGTGAGCTTCAGAAGAAAGAAGAAGAAATGCGACAAATGTTTGTTATGAGAGTGAAGGAGAAAGAAGCTGAGCTCAAAGAGGCTGAGAAAGAGGTAAGTCCCTCAGTCCTTAGGGAACAACATCCCAGGGCGTGTTTATTCATATTTCATATCTCATAGAACCTCATGCTGCTCTAAGTACTTCCTACATGCATATTGTTTTTTTTTTTAATTTTTTGCTTTTGGTTTTCTGGCGGGCTGGAGAGATAGCACAGTGGGTAGGGCGTTTGCCTTGCATGCGGCCAACCCGGGTTCAATTCCTCTGCCCCTCTCGGAGCCCGGCAAGCTACCGAGAGTATCTCGCCTGCAGGGCAAAGCCTGGCAAGCTGCCCATGACGTATTCGATATGCCAAACACAGTAACAAAAGTCTCACATTTTGTTGTGAGATGTTACTGGTGCCTGCTCCAGCAAATCGATGAACAACGGGAGGACAGTGCTACAGTGTTTTTCTGGACCCCCTATATACATTTTGTCCCATGAGAGGCTTACTAACCTGACGTGAAAAAACAGGTCAGATCTTTTTTTAAAAAAAAAGGAGCCACAGTCCTTGATGATGAGAGTTGGGGGGGGGGGGGGGCTGGGGGCAGGACTTCTCCAGCAGTGCACCCCGAGTGATGCAGGCTGAGAGACTGGTACTCAGGCCTCACAGTGCTCAAAGGCCACGAGGGCCATGCCTGTGGTGCTCTGGGGCTACCAGGCCACACGCAGTGGAGCTAAATTCATTGGTTTATGTAATTACGGACTTAGTAGCAGAGACAAGATTAAACTCTCAAGTCTCTGGATTTAACCAGAGACTTTTTAAATTTTAAAAAATTATTTATTTATTTATTTATTTATTTTTTCCTTTTTGGGTCACACCCGGCAATGCACAGGAACTACTCCTGGCTCATGCACTCAGGAATCACTCCTGGCCGTGCTCAGGGGAACCATATAGGATGCTGGGAATCGAACCCAGATTGGCCAGTGCAAGCCCTACCCACTGCGTTATCACTCCAGCCCCTAACCCCGTGTTCTTTGTAGCTCTGATGCCCTCAGTTCACAAGTGACTGTCTGATTTGGGATTCTGAGGCTCGCTCGGTCTATTATGCGGGTTCTAGAACTTTCTCTGAGGGCAGTGGTTTTTCTCTCTCTGTGGTTTCCCCTTTTGCCCGGCAGGAACTCCCTGCCCCTGCAAACTGCATGCCCACCTGGTTCCCTCTCCTCAGGCCCAGTAACTTACATTTCGGCTTTTGCCCTCACCCCTGTCAGAGGACTTGGAATTAATGGCTGGTGTGGGGGAGAGAAAGAAAATATGACGGCAGGCACTCGGGCCCTGCATTTCCTCATGATATCGCCCGAATCTTTTCTTTATCACCCCCTTGTAATTGATGTTTGTAAAGACTAGGAATCATAGAGGTTACTTAAATAGGTAAGTGGTTGACATATTTTTGCGACTTGCTACGGAACGGAGAAAATCAACTCTTTCTTTGCTCTTAGCTTCAATACCACCTGGATCCTGGGTGAAAATCTATGATTATCTAGCCAGACTTTTCCCCTCCTTCCCTATTTTTCTTTCTTCTTTCCTGCTTTAGTTCCTGCACTGTGGTTTTGTTGTTCTGAAGAAGGGGATCATACCCGGCAGTGCTTAGGGCTTACTCCTGGCTCTGTGCTGAGGGAGATTCTAGGGGCACCACCTATGGTGCTGGAGATCAAACTAGACTTGGCCCCATGCAAAGGAAACACCTTAGCCTCTGTACTATCTCTTTGGCTCTGCGATTTTTTTTTTCCACTTTGTCAAGACCCAGATACTTCTTTTTGATTTAAATGCCCTTTCTGTGTTTTCGGGTTTTTTTTTTCTTTTTGGGTCACACCCAGCGATGCCCAGGGGTTATCTTGGCTCTGCACTCAGGAGTTACTCCTGGCAGTGCTTGGGGGATCATATGGGATGTCGGGGATCGAACCTGGTTCAGCCACGTGCAAGGCAATTGCCCTACCCTCTGTGGTATCACTCCGGCCCCTTAAATGTCCTTTCTCTTTTTAAGACAGAGATAGCATCTGTAGTATGTCATTAAATTAGTGTATATCACACACTTTGAAAAAGAAGGAGAAATAGAGCTCCTTTTATTACTAAGATGCTTTCTTTGGGGATCATAGGTAATCTGTGTTCTTTATGTCTTTCACGGTGATTTTTTTTCCTTGAGGCACTGTGAAGCTGTTCGTGATGTATACTGTCCTGACAGGGTTTCATGCGCACTGTTCCACACCGGAGTGTCACTTCCCTTCACGCCCTGCTTCTGCCACTGCCCCAGGCCCCTCTAATCCTTGGTCAGCTCAGATCTAGAAAGTTCTCAAGTTCTGTTGCCTTTGCTGTTCACTACTTCCTCGCTTTCTTTCTTTATACCCCACATATGCTGGAACGATAGCACAGTGGGTAGGGCATTTGCCTTGCACGCGGCCAACCTGGCCGACCCAAGTTCGATTCCTCTGCCCCTCTCGGAGAGCCCGACAGGCTACTGAGAGTATCTCGCCCGCACAGCAAAGCCTGGCAAGCTACCCGTGACGTATTCCATATGCCAAACACAGTAACAACAAGTCTCACAATGTTACTGGGCCCACTCGAGCAAATCGATGAACAACAGGAGGACAGTGACAGTGATGATTCCAACACCAATCCCACCATCATTATTTCCAAATTTCCCAACCACCACCCAAGCCAAGAGCAGGCCCTAAATGAGTTATTTAGTATTGCTTGTTATGATTAATTCACTAAAAATGATCAAAAAAGATTTCCCTAGAGGAAAATATGTGAAGATTGTAGTGTTTCACCTGGAGCCATTAAACCCTTTTATAAGAGACTATTAACATGTTGTCACAGGTTAAGCCTTGTGTGTTAATATTTTCTTCATTGAGATTGGTTGTCTTCTACTTTACATCCCCACCAATGTGTGCTGCTCCTGGCACATCAGTGGTGTAGACTATGAGATGTCACTCCAGGAATTCTAAACTTTTGATGGAGTGGCACAGCTGGAGTTAAATTTTTAACTGGATGGTGAATTTGGGATCCAGAAGCATCCAGCCGTGAGCATGGCGGTGATTAGGGTTGTGAAGGTTTTTGGCTGCTGGGGCTCTGTTTGGGCGGGTGGAGGGACTTACCCTCCCCACTCTGGGATGCCCCAGATATGACACTCCACCTGGAGCAGGGTGTGGAGGCATCTCTGTAGCTTGCAGATCTCTTTTGAGGTTTATTTATGAATCTCTGGATAAAGGCGGGTTAATGAGCTTCTATGGCACCAGAGGCAGTTCCACAGTGAATTCTTTTTTTTTTTTTTTTTTGCTTTTTGGGTCACAACCGGCGATGCACAGGGGTTACTCCTGGCTCTGCACTCAGGAATTACTCCTGGCGGTGCTCGGGGGACCCTATGGGATGCTGGGAATCGAACCTGGGTCAGCCGCATGCAAGGCAAACACGCTACCCGCTGTGCTATCACTCTAGCACCCCCACCAAAGTGAATTCTTTATCAGGAACTAAATCCACAAGGCTGGCCTTGCACGCCAGGCCTGGGCTCCGAGGGCTCTCAGGCCTGTGAGCGCTTGGGAGGAGTTTGGGAAGTGGGCACAGCCTCGTGCTGGGGGCTGGACCATTCTCATGCCCATCACCTTGCCTGTCCTTCTCTGCTCTCTCTCCAGCTCCACGAGAAATTCGACCTCCTCAAGCGGACACACCAAGAAGAGAAGAAGAAGGTGGAAGACAAGAAGAAGGAGCTGGAGGAGGAGGTGAACACGTTCCAGAAGAAGAAAGCGGCTGCGCAGCTCCTCCAGTCCCAGGCCCAGCAGTCTGGGGCTCAGCAAACCAAGAAGGACAAGGATAAGAAAAAGTAAGCAAGGGGCCACCCCCGGCGCCGGGCCCACTCACGGTCTGTTCCTCTTGCATGTTTCTCCTTGTCCATTTTCAGACTGGAAACTGACCAGACAGGTAAAAGGCACATCCTCTCTCCACGGTGTGGGGAAGATGCTAACGGTGGTAGCCGTTCTCTAACGGTCCACACCATTAATTGACCCACATGATCAGGACTGGAGTGAGCGGTGGTCCCCCTTAGCGCCTCCCCAGCGACACTAGGACTGTGGAGAGCCAGTCAGTTTCTCATCACCACCCCCCGGAGACGGTCCCCGCCGCTCCTGAGAGGAGCACCGCCAAGTCCTGGCTGAAAATGATTTTTCTGCCAAGTGTGATTAGCCCGCCGTCCAAGGTCTTGCTCTAAAACGGAAGACTGGGATGAAGCGCTAGTGGTCACTAGTTTTCCTCAAAATCCAGCAGGATGAGAGATGTATTTGCTTGTGTGCAGGGGGAACAACCCGCCTGTCCGTCAGAACCCTCCACTGATCCTCCTGTAGCCTCACACACAACCTTTCAACGCACGGGCCCCGGTTTAACAGCAGGGGGTCGGCCTCTGCCCTGGGCAGTGGCAGTTGCCTGAATTCAAAGGGAGCTTTGGGGCCGCCTTTGAATGTCTCCAGTGATTTGCAGTCTCCGCCCAGGCAGGTCAGGGCTCGGGAGAGCAGAGTAAGGACGGTCACTGTTGGTCTGACAGCGAGCCCAGAGAGCAGTAGGAGCCGGGGCTCACGGTCAGTCCCTGGGTGGCCCCTCCTTTGTCTGTATGACACATGGTGGTGCCCTGAGGAAGGTGAGAGGGCAGCTCAGGTGCTCTCCAGGGTTCCTGCTCCTTGTCCTTAGATGCTATGGTTCTAGGGCAAGTCAACCAGAATGTTGTACTCAAGCAGGTCAAGAATTACAATCCTTTAAAAAAAAAAAAAAGAGTAGATAGGACTGGTCCTGCTTGGTAAGGAAGGCCCATAGGCCCATCTTGAGGACTCCCTTGAGAGTGCTCATGCCGTCTTGGGGGAGATGCATTCTCCCCGTAGGAATCTTGATGCCATGCCTGCAGGAGAAATCGAGACACGTTTCTCCAGTGCCACGTGGAGGGTTGCATCACCCCTCACCAATGTGGACTCTGGAAGCGCTCAGGCTGCAGGTGCTGACACATCAAGAGAGCCAGGAGGAGCATTTCCGAGCAGCAGGAAGTAGTTGACTAGAGGGCCTGTGATTCCCACAGGGCTGGGACACACGCAAATGACCCGAGACTCCCAAGGGCCCACACTGCCAGGCGCTGGAGCTGTCCCAGAGTGATAGGTGCCTATAGTAGAACCCAGATCAAGAAAACGCCTGGTGGTGTTGATATTGGGAGAGTAACGGTCACTCGTTGTCCCCATGGCAGAGAAGCAGAGATGCCATGACTGCTGCAGTGACAGTGAACCGAAAGCCGATTAGCACCCTAAGCTTCTTGGTCCAGACTACCCCAAGATAAAAGCGTGTGTGTGTGTGTGTGTGTGTGTGTGTGTGTGTGTGTTTCTACATTTATACGAGCGAATGAAACTGAGACGCTGCTCACAGCTTAGGAAACCCAAAGTCAAGTTTCTCTTAAAATGAAGCACAAACGTGCACAAAGGAACATGTTTTCAAACTAAAAATGTGTACAAAGACCAGCAGTGTTCCACGGGTACTGCACGCATTCTGGATGTGCCTTTAAGCAATAAGAATTCCAAGAGCTGATCAGCCTTGTGCCTCCATTGGAACAGACGTTCGTCTAGTGACATGCCCTCCGCCGCAGAAGGAAGGCTTTCCTGGCCCTCGGGAGCCCAAGCGTTTATTTTCTTCCCAGTCATGGGACTCAGCAGTGTCTTTTCAGGTTTACAGGAAGTGCATGCGAAAGCTATTTTAGCCTTATTTCTGTGTTCTCGGCTATTATTAATGGAACTGGGCTTCATTTGGTGCCCAACAGTCACCCGACAAAGGCACCTATTTTTTGGGGTGGCTTTCGCACACACCTGAAGCGGGACTGTGAGCACAGGGCCTGAAGTCGGAGGCCTGAAGTGGAACAACAGAAATAATTTACACCAAATTGCTCTCCTCACGGCCTGCTCGGGGGAGGGTTTGGCTAGGGGCAACCACAGCACTTTGAAAAGAGATTCTTCCTTCCCTCCTGGTACAGCTGGAGGACTAGCTTTGTTCTAGGCAGAAAGCCAAAAAAAAAAAGAGAGAGAGAGAGAGAGAGAGATGCGCTTTATTTCCTATTTCTAATAGTTTCAAATTCTGTTTTTTTCCCATTCTAATGACACGCTCCCTTCTTAACGTAGGTAAGGCTTTATACTTCTCCTTGACCTCTAGTGGCATGAGAGCACATAACATTTCCTAAGAGTACAAAGTAGAACTAACCCTGGCCCTGCCAGTAGCCGGACCCCACCTCCCGCCATCTCTGGCCACCTAGCCCCTGCCCCCGTTTGCAACGACCCCTCAGTGGTGGGACTGCCCGGTAAGTGTTCCGCAGACAGTGCTCAGCTCTCCTGAAAACCGCGCACAATCGGCAACCACACGGGCTGGTTAGGATGCATCCATCCCCCAAGGCAGTTTTAAAATGTAGCATTTTAAAACTATCCCCGGCATCCGGTAACTACAGTTTACATCATCATCCACTCGCCTTTTAGAACAGTTTTTTTTTTTCCCCCAAGTGTTGCTAAGGAATGAAGGTGCATGTTTTGGACTTGCCTAAAATTAGCCGCGTGGCTCTTGGATTTAGCGTCCCTTTGTCCCTACACGAGGGGGGAAGCTCCTAGCATCGCTACCGCTGTTGCCAGATAATGATCACCTTTTAATTTTTCTCCTTCCCAAGCCGATTAATAGCATGTCCTTCATCCATGATATTCCCGTCCTCAAGTTCATTGTACAAAGACATTTATTGCATTTTTATTCTCTGATTCCAGCAGTTCAGAAATGGACGATGACGCTGTCACTCACTACTGATTCGATGGTCCAAATCAAATAGATAATGGTTTTGGGTTATTTGGGGGGTGGAGGGGGGAAATACACTTCGAATTCTCCCACTAGATCAAGTCGTGGTCTCAAGAAGTCACGTGTGAATTCTCAGTTACATGCAAATGGAAACTAACAGTGTGTTCTTTAATATTAAAATTTTGCTTTTGCTTGTCATGTGGAATAGCTTACTCAAGTTTTCGGTTTTAATTTCTGTCAGTTCCATAATCATTGCATGAGCATTCACCATCACCAAATGCTGGTGCTGGCGCTCCTAATTTTACTTTCTTTTTTATTATTATTTCTAACTTTTTTGTTTTGTTTTTTAACTTGCAGTGCAAGCTTCACATAAAGCCTGGCAAGCCAAGGATGGTCCCGCATTCACCTGCTTTTGCAGTAATATTGTATCTCTGCCATCTGTGTCTTTTTTTTATTATTATATATATGCATATATATATATGCCCTTCCCCAAATACCAGTAACTATTAACTCATTTTGCTGAATGTTGTTGGGTGGTGAAAATGATAGAACCAGTGAACAATGTGGCTGGACTTTGTTTGTGGAAAGTCAATGATTTGCTTTTTATGCCTGTGAGGGTGGCCGCAGGAAGCATGCCTGTGACTTGTATGTGGCTTTGGACAGAGGGACGGAGGGAAACGCTTCATGTACGGCTGACAGGAAACTTCACCATCTCAGCAGCTGAACTAGAAACCTGAATAGTCACGACAACAGCCTGCCTTAAACACACAGACACACACACACAGACACACACAGACACACACACACACACACACACACAGACACACACACACACCACTTATTCATCTGTAGGATGGCAGAAGTTCTGAATTCTGAATTCTCCCTCAGCATCTTCTCCACATTGGCCCCATATGGAGGTTCCTTGGTCCCTAGGCAGAGTGGTGGGGAGACAGACAAGGATGTGACTCTTGATGCCTGCAGGAATTTTTATTTTAAGCCCTTAACACGATTTGGCCTGGATTGAGTCTGTTCAGACCAGCTGTCTCCTTGGAAGGCTTTAAAACCTGTGTCTGAACCCCTGGCTCACCAGTGCTGGCCCAGTCAGACTCCGCTGAGGCCAGGGCGATTATGTCGCGTGCCCTTGCTGGCCTCTGGTGGGTGTGGCCCTCTGACAGTACTTAGTTGGAAGCAGTTTCTCCCGAGGCAGGTGGGTGGTCCCTCGCCCCGCGTATCGGCACACCCCAGCTTGATCTCGGGGCGCTGACGGGAGAGGCCTGACTGCCAGGACATCATCGGTCCTTCTATGACACTTTCCCAGTCACCGTGCATGAGAAATCATTTCCAGGAAGACGCCAACTAGAAAATCCTTAGGTGTCACCTGCAGGACTGTGTCAGTTCAGGTGGGGATAAGAGGACCCAGGAGCCAAAGCCCAGGGGTGGGGCGAGGAGAAAGTCAGCTGACACGAGCGAGCGAGGCCTGGCTCCAGTGCCCGCCGCCGTGACTGACCCCGGCAGGAAGCAGGTGTTTGTCTTAACACCGTTTCCTGGCAGCGTGGCCCTTCAGCATGTGGTGCCGAGGGGACCAGCCCCAGAGCACTTGCTCAGTGGGACCCCCCACCCCACCCCCCAGCAGCACAGATAAGGAACGAGCCGTATCTGCAGCCCAGTCTCTGGCCAAAGCCTGAGTTTCTCCTCCCTGTACTGTTCCTTTCCTTTCCTTTCCGATGCTTCAACTCTTTCATCTTCTCGAGTTCCCACGGCTACTGACAGGATTCTCCCAGGGTGCTCGCTAACGATGATCTCCTGTTTCTCACTTGAAAGAACAGAACTTGACCCTTTTCCTCTTTGTTTTCCTTCACTGGCCATGCCCGGAGGCAGCGTGACAGCCACTCGATGCCCCCAGTGCCCACCCACCTTTTTATTAGTCATGTCTCCAGTCGTTTTTTTTTTTTTCCTCCTTCTCTCTGTCTTCAACCATATTAAGAGAAAGAAGGAATGGTCTTCTGTGAGCTAATTTAATTAAGCAGAGCAAGTCCGTTTCATTGACGTTTCATGGAAGCCAGTTTCCCTGAAGCCCAAATTAATCAGGATAGAAACTGAAGAACAGCAGCAGTAATGGTGGCGATTAGACCAGCTTGGGGCTGGGGAGATGGACTCAGCATATAGGTCGGGCCTTGGTCCCCCTAAGACTGCTGGGAATAGCCCCGAAGCACCCCTGGATTGGCACAGAAACATCCCCCTCTGCCACCAACACCCCCCCTCCCCCCGCATACATACACACACACACACATCCCAGAGCCAGGTTTAGAGCTCTCGAACCAGGGTTTTTGCTTGGGCTCCCTCCCGCCTGCTTTTAATGATTTTAGTCTGAGGCTTGCTGGGGCAGCCAAACTAGCTGGCATGTCGAGGCTGACGGGGCTGAATTTGCTCATACGCTGTGCATCAGACAAAAGCTTGAATACTTATGTTGTGTGCTTGTTCCAAACACCGCTTGTGTGAGCATTTTTGTGCCTTGTAACAGAAACTCCTTTTCAATTCTAAAAATGCATCACTTGTAGCTCATCATTGCGGCTGAATCACTAATGCCTGGTTTACAGTGAAGCTCACTGAGGCATCCAGCTGACTCTTTGATTCCAAGATTATTGATCGATGGGTTGATTATTTCTTTTTTTCCCATTACATTATCACGTTAAAACGGAACATGGAGCGTCAGGGAATAAAAAGTCAAACATATAGGAGCTTAAAAAAAAAAAAAAACTGTTGCTTCCGAATCTTTTTTTCTACCACTTTTGCCCCAGCCTTGTTTGGTTTGTTACTGCTGCTTTTCTCTTTTCTTTCTGTATCTGTGCCTTTTTTCACAGTAGTCCTTGGCTCTGCACGGAATAAATGATACCCTCAAATCTAATTGGATGTGCTTTCGCCTTTGCATGTAAGTACGATTAGTAAGAAACGTTTGAGATCTTTCTGACTTTTAAGAGAAATGGGATAGATGATTTTTTTTTCTTTTTGGAGGGGATTCTAGGGAGGCTATGGTTTATCCTTTGTATGTGTGTATATATACATACGTATATATAAAGATATAAATGACCACATTTATATCTTTTTTCCCCCCCACAAAATCAGAAAACTTAGTAGCAGTATGGAAGTCAGAACCTGCCGCGTTCCATACCGCACCAGGGGCATCAATGGATGTCCTTTCGGATGGCATCAAACTAGAAAGAGAACCTCCCTTCCGCTGCAGAGAATTGAGAGGGAAAAGGTTCTTTGTTTTTGTGGTGCTGGAGATCAAACCCAGTGCCCCCCCCCCACACACACACATACACACACATACACATGCATGCACGCACGCACGCACGCACACACGCACATGCTCGACGACTGAGCCACATCCCGACCCGAGTGAAGGGTTGATGCCAGCCTCTCTCTTTGACTGCTTCCAGTTTGGATGATTCTGGTTCGGGGATCTCTCTCCCTTCCGCTCACAGCTGACAGGGATCTCCCTTTATCCTCGCCCCCATCAGCTCCAGCAGGCCTCTCCCCTCATCTTTTATTCACCCACAGGGACCACCTTTTGTTCCTTGAAGACAGTAGGTGGCCGTAACAGCTGTCAGAGGGTGGATGGTGTGATGCACAAGCACTCATTAGAACCACAGGCAGTTCAGAGACTTTTCCCATGTAGGCGCTTGGTAATTTGGGCCGCCTTAAAGGGGAAAGGCATCGTACCCAGGGGAACATCTGATGCAGCTCTGGGAGTGGGTTACTGGTTGTCTTCGTTCGGAGTTTGTAATCTCACCAGCAGTAACGTTCTTTATCTGTTCACCTCCAATGAGAAGACTGGTCTCCTCACTTCCTCCTTGACATGTTCATGAGTGTTTCACATTCATGCTGTGATCAGATTTTCAGCTGTTACCAGCCCATGCCATTCTCTGTGTAGTTCCACCAAAACTGTCCATTCAGATCTCTTTGCTTTGTCGTTTTTTCAAGTGTCTGAAATTGTCAAGTCTCGGCTACCAGAATTCTTGGTTCCGTTAACGGGACACATGTGACAACTCTTTTAGTGGAAATTCTAGCATACAAACTCTAAATTGTATGTAGGTATGAAGGACGTTTTTTTAAAAATAAATTGAAAATTAAGCTGTGAACAGCATTAGCAGTTTGTCTATTTCTTAATTTTTAAATATGCTGATATGCCTTAAACTAGAGTTATAGATTCATTGTCATTTTGCTGTTTCAAAAATAACAGATGTGTTTCTAAAACTGTTGTGTAATCTACTTTTGGTGTTAATGCAGAATTGTCATATATGTAAGCTGCATGTTAGACACTTGTCTTTTAAAAGCCGAAATAATTGTATCGATGTGAAGTATAACATTTTATCAAGTATGAAAGTAATCACTTAACACACGTGCTGGATCTGTGGTGTGTGTAAGGTAGGCGTGCTGGGCAGATATCTATGCATATATATCACTAGTGCCAAGACCTAACGTGGGGGAAATATATTTTTACCCAAACACTGCGTGCCCTTTTGTGAGTTCTTTGCAGTCACAGCTTGGTTGCCTATGTACACTGCTTGCGGTACGGGATCAAAGCGGGGGTGAAGGTCTCACGCCTCCTGGTGTTGTCTGCGGGATTTCCGATGCAGCTATCTTGGCAGCACCAACTTCTCCAAGATACTTGCCACATGGTACCCAGGACTTCGCATCTAGCATCTCCGCCACTGTTTCTTCCCAATCCCTTTTCCCTGGTTTGCGCCCCCCCCCCCCAAACCGGCCCCCCTAGATCCTGCTGCGGCTTTCTCTTCTTCCTGGCGCCTGGTGCCACCACCCCGGCCACTGCTCACCCAGCCACGCTCCTGGAAATCAGCCTTTTAATTACCACGCTGCTCTTTCCCTTTGCTCTAGGGAAGTCCCCGGCCCCCTCACCTTTTTTTTTTTTTAAAGACTTTTAAGAATCAAATTTGAATCTGAACCTTTCTTTTTTCTCTTCTGTAGCTTCTTCTTTATGTAACCATCCTGTTGACAAGCCCTACTCTCTCCTAATGGACATAGAGCATTAGAAGAGCAGGAACTGTCTGTTCACACGTGTTGGGGAAGAGTTACCTCATTTCCACCATCGCCTCCTATTCTCTTAAGAGTCGGGGTCAAAGATTGCACTGCTGTTTGTATCTGTCAATGTCTGTTTTGCAAACCACTGCCCATAGTGACTCCTAAGGGAACTTGTCACTGCCTCCCCCGCAGTAACCCTTCACACTACAACTTAAGTGGAAATGAAACTGAGGACACGGGCCAACCCCAGCCAAGGTGCCCACGGATGGGGACCCTCTGGCCTAGCGGTCAGTGCTCTCGAAGCTGCTGGTCCGAGAACGCACGGACTGAAGATAGCACAGCCCTAATCTCAGGTGGCCCCCAAATCCATCACATGCTAACTCCAGACCTCTCTGCCTGGGCATCGGGATCCTCAACAGCCCCTGGGGATCGTCAGCCATCAATCACGTTCCTCCTCCTTGTGTTTTATGGGTTGAGTTGGAGTTTGACTGGGTTTTTTTTTTCTTTTTATAAAAAAAAAACATTTGATATTGCATGAACAGAGATGGCTGCATCTTTTTTATTTGGAGTGTTCTATTGATACCATGTTTTTATTTTTCAGCTGACCATCTGCCTCTTGAGAGAGAGAAGTGGGCATCCTTCCTTTAAATTCGGGAACCGTTATCGTTTCATTTGATTCTTTTTCTGTTCTCTGCATCCCTTATATAATTTGTTTTGGAGTTTGGGATTGTTTGGGGGTGGGAGTGGGTTTTATTTTTTTTCCTTTTTCAGTTAGCCAGTTCCACTTTATGTACTGGATCAAGATCATGTGAGTTTTAAACTCAAGGGAAAATTAAGTGAAGTTTCAGTCACAAAACTCTGTTTAAGATGTTCTTGTCTCAGAGACAAAATAGCCCATTGATGTCACAGGGATTTAATGTCTAAAATGTGCCAGTGTTAGATAACTTATCTCCCTCTGGGGCTCTGTTTATATTTAAAATTTCTCCAAAATAACTTTTCGGCCCATCCTGCCTTTTCATTTTTTGAGAGAATGTTTTGTTTGCCTTGTGTCCAGAGTTCCCGTGTCCTGGACCATGAGATGTGAAACAAACCCCAAATAAGTACATAGTCTTTCCCTGACAACAGCATCCTGAACATTGTTTCTGGGCTACATTGTTCTGTTACCAGTGGCTGTTTCCACTCTACACACACTCTTCTTGCAGGCTAGGATATGACTCAGGTGACAGAGCAACTGCCTGACAGGTGAGGCTCAAAATCCAATCCCCACACATCACCCCCAACTCACGGCGGTTCCCAAGCTGCACTAGGTGTGGCTTCCTAGACAAACAAGACACCCACATGTGTGTGTATATACACATGTACACGCACACACAACCCAATGAATTAAATGAATCTAATTTCTAAGACCTGCTTACGTGGTACTAGATTTGACTAGATTTGGGAATGTTACTTTTTCAGTACTCAACTCTTAAAGCCAGTTTATAATACAGGGCAAATTTCTCACTCTGGAGTATGAATATGCATTTTTATCTTAATTTCACTACTTGTCTCTAATCTCCTTATTTCCATCTTCACTGTGCAGACCCTATTTGATGGCATGAATTCTATTTGGTGAAGAGCTCGATGTGTGTCCCCGTCCCCCCAACCCCCCAGCTCCCGTTTCATGACAGTAATACACACTCTTGTTCAAAGATGAAATACTGAGGCAATTGTTGGAAAGGGATTACTTAAAGCAACTGAGTGAGCTTGCTGGCAGATTTCCTTTCCTCAGAGAACATTAGCAACAGGCAAATTTTTCTGCGCTTCTAAGTGATGGTAATGCATGAAGTGCCCTTGGCTCCCTGACCCTAATGGTCTGGCAGTGTGAGTTAAACACAAACATCATATTTGAGTGTAATAACTAGGTACCATCGCAGGATGGTAGGCTTAGATTCCTTGATCATTTGGAATAGTTCAAACATAACTTGCCATTCATTGTAAAAGCAAATTCTTCATAAAATTGTAAAGATGATTTTTTAAAAAATGTTTTAAGTACAGAAATGAGTACTGTGCCATTGCCATCCCTTCTATGGCCTGCAGGTGAGATGCGGTGGTAACCCTTTCAGGGTAAGGAAGCCCGTCACAGTGGCCTAGCTTCCATTCGGCAACTAAGAGAGCAGGCCAAGAGCGGTAATCATGCCAGGAGTCTAACCCAGATCGCTGCACGTAAGGAAAACACCCTCCTCGCTCTACTCCCTCTGGCTGGCCCTCAGTGTGGAAGCTTTCAATATGATAGCACACAGAGAGGACGATAGCAGAGACAGGACACAAGCTATTCCTTTATGGCTCCTGTTCCTTTGTGTGAATATTCTCTGCTTCCCCAACCCCTTCCCTCTTTGCAAGCAGTATTTGTTAAACTCGATATACTGCACTGCATCGAACGTTAGCTGCACTGAGGATACAGCCATGCACTAGAAATCACACTAGTGATTAGATTAGTATGTCTCTCCATGCACCTTGAAAGCACAGCAAAAATTTGAAGTTAAAAAAAAAAGGGAGGGGAAAGCTCTTTCTTTGATAACCATTTAAGTTTGTATTTTGAAAAGAAAAAGCCCCCTCCCCACTCTTGGATTTAGCAATACAGTAGCTTCCTATCTTCCAGAATAGGCCGTTTCTGAAAAATCAGGCAAGAATCTAGAAAAAAGCATCCAAAATACTTTTCTGCTATTAACAAGGTGACCACAATGAGGTCAACAATTCTGGCGTTTTGCCTGTCACGAAGGTTGTACATAATTTGCTATTCTGAAAATCTTCATTTCTAGGTTGCTTTTCAGAACTAAGGTTTTTAATTTATAGGGTTTTTTTTTCTTTTTAAATCTAAGACACAGCCAACTATCACCTGCCCTAGGATGGTTCCTTCTAGGAAAGCATATGTTAAAACATCTCCTGGATGAAAACATAGAAACTCCAGGAAGCTGGAGATAAGCTCCTTACCCTGTTGGCCAAGCTCTGGGGGGCTTTACTAGGACACGGTTCTTTGGGCAGTAAGGCTGGAGCGCAACTTATTTCAGACCTCCAGAATGAGCAAGTTAGGAAGCCTGAAAACCCACGTATATAAATAGAGACACACAAGCAGTTGGTTCCAAGAGGAGAAAAACATTCCTGGTGGGGAGCCCTCAATGTGAATTCTTTAACAGGAGGGTTTTAAGATAACCAACTTCGTGGCAACCTTGTGGATATTACTATCTTCTAATCTGATAATCAAGAGATCCAGCCTACACTTTCACTTTTCCTAAAGGATTAGAGTAACATACCAATTAAATTTTATGCCTGTGCCTATAAAGACGTCATGGAGTAACAATCTTTTTAACCACGAGGTGGCACCATAGCCCCATTTCCCCCCCTAAATTACAAAATATTAAGATCGGGTATAAACAAAACCTTGTCCTCTTAAATGGTAATTACTGGATTACAAATGAAAGAATCTGACCTTAAATTTTTCATCACTTGACGTCTACATAATAATTTCTAAGCTATAGGGAAGGGGAAGGGTGCCTTCTCCCCTCTTGGTGCTTCGGATGTTACTAATAGATTTTCTGTAGGTATAAAGCCAATCCTACAAAAGAAAACAGCTGACCTATAATACATACTCTTGCTCATCTAAATCTTAAAAAAAAAAGTGTGCTAGAAAGAACATATTTTCTAGATATATCAGTATCCATGGCCAGAGAGACAGTCCCCAGCATCCCATATGGGCCTCTGAGCACTGCCAGGAATGATTCCTGAGCACAGGATCAGGAGTATTGCCAGGTATAACCCAAAAGGAAGAAAAAGCATCCATTATGATGAGAATCTGTTACATGGCAAGTTGAGTCCACTGTGACGAAATTAAGTTCTTAGGCTAAATCCCCCTCAGAATGTTTTGTTAATAAGCACAGTCTTGGCACTTCAATCATTTTCCTGAGTTGAAAATGGCTATCTGAAACTTGCACCTCTTCAGAAGCAGAAAACACTCAGACAAGCCGAAGGTGATGGACAACTTTTTATTGCTACCAGAGGCTTTTATCAGCGGTACATGGTTTGAACTGCAATACCTTCTTCAGACTGCACAGGGAGGTCAGGATCCAAGTCATTAAGAGAAATACAGGTAGGCCAAGGAGTCACGGGGAATAACCTTCATGGAGAAAATCCTAAGAGCTTAATGTAAGGGATACTGAATCCAGTTATGTTACGGAGCCAAATCAGAGCTGTCCCAACATCTAGACAGTCTCTCCTGCTGATTTTATGACAAGTTACAAACAAAATCTATTTTAGTTACTACATGTTTCTTTGGTGAGCACCTGGATATATTAACTTTATCAAATTATTTTATACAAATGTCAAAAATGCTTTCAACAAATATGAAGTGTCCTAATTACATGCCACTTTTAAGATTCACTTTTAAAATAAACAGAAATGAAAATACTGTTGCTTCCAAACTCTAGAAACGCATATGAGATGACAACAAAAATCAATGCGGGGGGGCTGGAGCAATAGCACAGCAGGTAGGGCGACATTACCTTGCACACAGCCGACCCGGGTTCGATTCCCAGCATCCCATATGGTCTCCCGAGCACCGCCAGGAGTGATTCCTGAGTGCAAAGCCAGGAGTAACCCCCGAGCATCGCCGGGTGTGACCCAAAAAGAAAAAAACAAATCAATGTGGTCGTGAGTCCTTTTTTCTGTTACCACCTCTGATTCACATGGGGACAATTTCAAAGTACCCTTATTCAGTAAATTCAAATTCAAATCATGAATCAAACATGACGGTCACACTGAAAAATCATTGTTCACAAAATTGCTAAAAAAGAATTTTGGGGTTTCCTAATCGGTGGAAGCCAGACTACAGGTCAACATGCATTAAAATCCATTAAAATTTTAATAAAGCAAGCAAGAGGGAAATTAAAGCAGGACAGGGATTGCTAGCTATGCATTTTTGAAATTCAAAAAGAACATTTAATGTGAAGTTTTGACACGGGGCAATCTATATTACATTTTAGAGAAATGGGAGGGAATGACAAATACTACAAAAGATTTTTTTTTACCTTGGAAATGTTTTGGATCTTCTGAATTTCACACCTTAAGTGCTTAAATAACGTTAAATTAGATTCGCCACACAGGAAAAATTTTTTTCTGGCTAGTTCTAAACCAGCCTGACGTGAATTTATAAGTATAGATAGCCTTCCCTGATCTTCCGTATTCCCATTCCCAGAATAGTCTACCTTGGTTTGTACCTGAAGGCGACGTCGGAACCTACATGACAGAAACAGGCTGCAAAGGCGGACAAGGGGAGGGATGGCCCTCTTGCCTCGCGAGGTCGGTGCCGCACACGGAGCCCACGCTGTCGGAGGCGCTGTCTTCGTTGTAGAGCCGTTTGATCCCGTCGTAGAAGTCATCCACCTCCATCGCCTCCACCTTGCGTTTCGCAGAGGTGTGCTTGCACCCGCCGCCGGCCGCCGGCCGCCGGTGGCACAAAGCTGCTGCACCTCTGACTGGCACTTCTGGTTTGCTGCTGTCCTTGGAGAAATCTGGGCCTGGGACAGAGGAGGGCTGAAACCTGAACACTCCTCGGTCACAGGTCACCAGGGTGTGCTTGAGGGGACGGTAGACATAAACGGAATTGAGAGGCAGGGCCGACTGCAGGGTGGAGAGATGGTGCGCCAGCAGCTCCCGGCAGTGGATCAGCTGGGAACTATCCATCTGGCCAGAGAGAAAACAATCCAGCGCTGAATTCCCGCAGCTCGCTCTGCCCCCTCCGTGCCCCCAGCTCGCTCGCTTTCCTCTCCCTAGTCTTCCACTTCAACTCTTCCTCCAGTCTCTCCATCAACTCCTTAGGGAACAGAAGTCCTAACACCTATGTCTAATGTCATGTTCAAGTATCCATCTCTACTGTAAATCTCTTTAGAACTTGGATTCTGTATTTCATTTCTGTTTTATTTTGGCACTGGATCCACACCTGGCAGTGCTCGGAGATCAGTCCCAGTAGTGCCGGGGGTAGGACCCAAGTCGGCCACAGGCCAAGGCAAGTGCCTTACTCTTATTCTGCTCGCTGCATCTGAGATTCAGTCTTGTTTTAGGAGTCCCACCCAGCGGTGTTCAGGGCTCACTCCCGAGTCTACTCGGCAATCATTCCTGGTAGAGCCAGGAGACCAGGCGATGCTGGGGGCCAAACCCTGGCTGGACACGCACGAGACAAGCACCTTACCTGCAATGCGATCTCTATAATCTACTTCACCGTCCAAGTCGCTAGCCCATAAGATTCCACTATACCCTATTCTTATTCCTACATTTTGTACCACAGTGTGGAAGCCTTCGATCTTACCTGTAGTCACACTCTCTGCCATTACTGTGCCTATGCTAAATCTTCCTCAAGGAACCAACTGCGCTGTCCCATTACCTACCAAAAACAAGGCGAACCTCCTTGGTTTGTTATTAATGGGGCTCTCCATAACCTGGTAATGCTCCCTTCCCGCACACCCTGAGTGACAACCCCGAGATAATAAAGGTACATCACACAGACAGAGGGCACCCACGGGAGAACAATGGAGTAAGAAAGAGGCTTAGCTTAGACTGGCGACTAAATTATAGCACAAGAGCTCAGAAAACCAAGAGAAATGGTCTTTCAAACCAGGGAACACTGGCTGTACTCTGTCCCAACGCCAAAGGGAACAGAAGCAAAGCTAGTGACAATGGCCCCTTTGGCCCAACATCACTGTTTTCTCAACAAGACCTTCTGACACGATCTTGGCAATCTGATGGGAGAGTTTTCTAAACTAGACCCGAAAACTAGAAGGACAACCTGACACTGCCTTGGCCTTGTCACGGGCCTGTTTACAAGGATACTGGATCTGCCATTTTTTTCCTTTCCCTCTGGTTTCTGGGCCACACCCCAGTGGAGCTCAGGGGTCATATGGGATGCCAAGGGATCAAACCCAGGTCGGCCCCGTGCAAGGCAAATGCCTGCCCGCTGTACTACTGCACTGGCCTCAGACTCTGCAGTGAGTTCAGCAGAGGGAGAACTGAGTGCTGAAGAATCTGAGGTCTGGGTGTCCAAGCTGGCTAATAGTCCAAGCTGCCTTACAAGAACTTCTAAGGGCCAAAGTGAGAGTACAGAGGGGAGGGTGCCCGCAGACCTGGGTTTGACCCCTGAGTGCGGAGACGGGAGTGAGCCCTGAGCACTGCCATGTGTGGCCCCAATACAGAACAGAAAGTGGCTTGCCATGACAAGATTAGAAATGGGCTGGGTCATCTGGCCTGGTTAACCCCACGGATCCCAGTAAGAGTTTGGAAACAAACACTAAATCGGAGTGACACCTACCTGTGCTTTCTGAAGCAGTTCAATCGTAAGAGAAAGCCAATCAGGAAGGAGTTTCTCCATCTCCAGACTAACCACAGCCAGAGCAAGCATGGAACCCTTGAATTGCAGGAACTGGCTGCAGGCCATACAGTGCAGGAGTTGCTTGGTAAGGACTGTCAAATGCTGAGACGGGCTCAGTTTGGGCAAATTAAAAAGTAGCTGAGGCCTAGTGGACACTGCAATGGCATGGAACTGAAAGGGAGAAAAAAAAAGCACACACAAGGACATCAATGTAGATGCCTGAATGTTTACATATCTTACACACAACATTTTATAAACTCATTACTCTCTAAATTTGCAATTTTGGCTCCAGGGATTTGACATAATTCCTGATTTTTTTTAACCCCCTGGCTTAATTCAATAATTAGCCATTTCCCCCAAATCAGACAAAAATGAATGGGAAATGCACTTTTCAACTTCCTGAGATAGAAGTAATCAAACAAGAAATGGAAAGATACTAGGTATATTTACAATGTGAAGAAAATCCAATGGTGTGGCTGTGTGAAGATCCCAGTTCAACTTATCCAGAATAATTCTCTCCATCCTCAGAATTTCAGATGAAGAGCACCCACAGAAACTGTCTCTTGCCAACACCTTCAGTACTGGAATTCTCTATTCAAAACAAAAGGCAATGGGCAGAAGAAGAGAGAGGAAAATGAACTCGTTTTCAGCTTTTGATTTGGCAAACTAAATCATGTTAACAAAATGGAGAGAAATTTTCACGAAGCATAACTAATCTCTAAAGAAAAATATTTACCTCATCTTCCTCAATGGTCTTGGCAGCTAGGAAAAAGCAGCTGATTGCAATACAATTCAAGTATTTTGGGTGAGCCTAAAATTTTAAAGAGGAAAAAACTACTTTAGTGATTATTGAAACATTTTAAGTTTTTTTTAGTTAAATATTGAAGTGCGATAATAGCTTTTCAAGATTAGAATGTTTTTTTATAATTTTAACTCTAGCCATGTGATATTCTATGTAAGACTATTCCATTACTGAAAAGTCAACCAAAGCCCTTTAGCCCAAGTTATTATTATTTTTTTCTTTTTGGGTCACACCTGGCGATGCACAGGGGTTACTCCTGGCTCTGCACTCAGGAATTACCCCTGGAGGTGCTCAGGGGACCAAATGGGATGCTGGGAATCGAACCCGGGTCGGATGCGTGCAAGGCAAGCGCCCTACCCGCTGTGCTATTGCTCCAGTCCCAGACCAAGTTATTTCTATCCAGTCTAAGAGACTATAATTTTGGAAGTTAATTATTTAATAAAATTCTTCAAATTAATTAAAGGTAAAAGGTAAAGGCCCTCCCGTTGATCGTCGATTTGCTCGAGCGGGCCCAGTAACGTCTCCATTGGAGACTTTGTTGTTACTGTGTCTGGCATATCGAATACTCTCGGTAGCTTGCCGGGCTCTCTGAGAGGGGCGGAGGAATCGAACTCGGGTCGGCCATGTTGGCCGCTTGTAAGGCGAACGCCCTACCCGCTGTGCTATCGCTTATATATATACACACACACCCATATACACATTTTCAAGTTATATGCTAAGAATGAAAAGTTACCAAATACAAAACTAGTAAGAGAAAAGACATTTTCTGGACTTGCTACCCACATAAAGAATTGAATTCGCTTGTTTCCCTTACTAGTACAAAAAAGTTCTGCCCATTCAATATCAATCACAACAATTTAGTTCTAAGTAAACTGAATGGCATCAAAGCAAGTCATAATACAAAGAAGACAGTAACCTCTGCTCCAACATTTATCTTAAATATTATAATCCCATGAAATTAAGGAAGTTTCTGGTATCAGAGAGTATGGTTTGAAAGATTAATGCATTACAAATGTATCAATGACCATTGCCTCTAGTGTAGGGAGACATACTTGTCTAGATATCTTTACAATCCTCTGTGTGGTTCAATACTACCAGTATTTTAAAATAAACAATATGAATCAGAAGTTGTATCTTAGTTATCCTAAAGTATTTACCTTTACAGTAGCTAAAAACCTGTCCAAAAGGCTGCTGGCCAGAGCAAATGTTTCAGGGTAAAGGTTGAATTGGTACTTTAGTTTGGCCAACCATTGAATTACTTCATCTCTCTGGGATGGAGAAACATTCTATAAGGGAACAATTGAAAAATAAAAGGAGATTAAGTTTCATGTTATCAAGATTATGTTTAAATGCTACAAGTCAATGTTAAAAATGGTTTTTCAAAATCTATCAAAAGAAATAAAGATAAAACTTTCTGCATTGATTATAGCATTTAATACAAATATCCAACATTCCCTCCCAGACTGTCCTTCTGACATACCAAGACACCCCCAGTTCCATCCCAGTAACTGCGGGAGACCAGTGGTTTTCAACCTTTCTCCTCTGCAGACTGATGGCTAATCCAAGTACTGAGTATAACCCTTTTTTCAACGCCAGGGATGAAATATCAGGTCTCACATACATGGAAGGTATGTATACCAACACAACCTTTTTATAAAAAAATCAAAATCTATTTTTCCTTCTCAGACTTATAGCTATTAATATAAAGCTACATATCTTAATAATATAGCCTCTGAAACAGGTATTTCAGTTGGAATTCCATTCCATCTTCAAGTTTTCCTTGTTAGGTATGCACCATGTGATGCTTGTTATAATCTCTGCCACTCTATCTGCTACTTAATTGCTCTTTTGTAATTCCAACATCTTTTTATCATTTGCCAGCTTTGACACGATTGAAGTGTGGTTGGCCAAATCAACAAATCATACACATAACTTCATATCTAGTTGCAAACTCAATTATAATGGCCTGGAGCAGGTTAACGCTATACATCACCTTGTAGACAACTCCATCTTTGTCAAAGATGGACCAACATACCACACAAGAAACAGTGAAAGAAAATGAGATAGAGATGGCTTACAATCTCTTTTTATTAAAATATCACCATCAATCTGATAAAGATTATGAGTAATAATCCAAAAACATCTGAAAACCAAGAGAAGCAATTCAGTTCAAATTAATAAAAATTTAAGTGTCTCTCATATAATTCCTAGGAAAACAAAAGATGAGTGAAAAGTTCTCTGTTCAACTTCAAAAAATAAAGTCTCAAGGTAAGGGAGAAAAATAAGAACGTCAAATACACTATGGTAAGCATTACAGGAGTGCTTTTCAAGGGATCAGCCCATCCTTAGCAGTAACAAACCCTAAGACATATATGTTCAATAAAACATGGGGGAGGGGAGCACCTGGGATAAAGTTGGGGGGGGATCTTGGCATCCTGGTGTAGCAGCACTGCAAATATAATGTCCCCAAATGGCAAAACTGTTATGTATTGTTTTACATATAGATATAAAACAAAATGAAAACTCTGCTTTAAGAAGAGGCTGAGGAGATGGCTCGAAGAACTATCTCCAGCACCAAGTCAGGAGTAACCCCCAGTGACAGGATGCGGCTCAGAACCCAGGAAAGTGCCTACTCAAAGGATCCAGGGGGCGCCCAAGACCCTGCAGTGAGGCCCTGGGTCAAGCAGCTTTGGCCTGGTTACTGGTTCTACAACATTCCATGTTTCCCATAGTCCCCGAGAGGCTACATTCAAGATCTAGTTCAGCCCTAGGGACACCCCCCAGTCCTCATTCCAATGGTCCAGGGAACCAGATGAAGGCAGTAAAGACAAAGAGTTAACCATTCAAAAGAATTTAAATACCCGTAAAAACGAACTTTTATCTAAAACACAAAAATACATAATACTAAGTCATCCAAACAAATAATTAATGGCTAGAAATAAAATTCTCACAGTAGACAAAGATGGTTTAATCTGATGAAACTGATGAGGAGCTACAATAGCAAAGAACACGGCCTGGAGTGGTAAGAGTACAGCAAGTGGGCACTGGTCATGTAAGAGGCTCAGCTGGGCTCAATTTATGGCGCCTCATCTGGTCCACCAAGTCCTGCAAGAAGTAATTCCTGAGGGGCTGGAGCAATAGTACAGTGGGCAGGGTGTTTGCCTTGCACGTGGCCGACCTGGGTTCAATCCCCAGCATCCTATATGGTGATGCTTCAAGCACTGCCAGGAGTAATTCCTGAGTGCAGAGCCAGGAGTAACCCATGTGCATCGCCAGGTGTAACCCAAAAAGCAAAAAAAAAAAAAAAAAAAAAAAAAATTAAAAAAAAGTAACCCCTGAGCATACCCTTGGTATGGCCCCTCCAAAAAAAAAAAAAAAGTCAATGACTACCACCATTAATTCCAATTTCCCCTCCAAGCTATACTGAAAGCTACATCATTAAATGTCACTGTCACTGTCCTCCCGTTGTTCATCAACTTGCTCAAGCAGGCCCAGTAACATCTCCATTGTGACAACTGTTACTGTGTTTGGCATATCAAATACGTCACAGGGAGCTTGCCAGCTCTCTGAGAGGGACAGAGGAATCAAACTCGGGTTGGCCATGTTGGCCACTTGCAAGACAAACGCCCTACCTGCTGTGCTATCGCTCCAGCCCATCATTAAATGAGGCTACATAATGATATCAATATTTGGTGTTTGATACTAAGCAAATAGCATATTATTAGCAAGTACCACAAAACATGGACATAAATACTGGTAAATCTTACAGAAAATTACCTATTATGGTTATAACTAAATTATTACATACAAAGCATAAGCAAGGAATGAAAGGAGCTTAAAACATTTGGCAAACTGTTACGGTTCTTTCATCCAATAAAAGTAGTTATGAAAGAGAATGTGACAAAAGCTTTAAAATATCCTACTTGTAAAATGAGAATAAAGTCAAGAAAGATTCCTCTTTCTTGTATAAGTTAATACTGCACGCAAGTACTGATTCCAAGCCAAACCTAGTCACAAAAATATTAAGTTTGAGACAAAACCCACTTTTCTGTGCCCAGATAATCAAATTCTGAAGGAAAGAAAAGCAGGAAGAGGAGGAAGAAAAAGGGCTGGACTGGGGACTGGAGCGGTAGTGCAGTGGTAGGGCAACCGGCTTTAATCCACGGCGTCCTATCTGGTTCCCCGAGCCCACCAGGATTAATTCTTGAGTACAGAGCCAGGAGGAAGCCCCCAGCACCACAAAAACAGGCTGGCCAGCCTCTCCCTTCTGAACTTCCTGGTTTCGTCACAGGATCTGTTTTCTCTTTTAAGGACTGCTCAAAGAGGGTTCAGAGGAGCTGAACAGACGATTTGGAACCGACTGATCCAACACTGAAAAGCACAGTCTGTGTGCTACTTGCTTCTCGTCATCGGAGCAGTAACCCTCACCAACTTTAATCTCCCAAGGCTTCTCGTTCCCTAAAAGATGATACAGCCCATGTCAGGCAAGGCATCCCTCTCCACTCATTCACCTTCCATCTCACCCTTCAACTGCACACTAGTGGAGAAGGACTCAACATCTGCAGTCCTCTCTTGCTCCTGCTGACGGAGACCTCCCTTCTTTTACTGAAGTGGTCACTTCTCACTTTCTCTGATAACAAACTGAGCTAAGAATCTTCCGGTGTTTCCAGCCACCTCTTGTCACACCTATTAAGCTCTCCCTTTCAAAAAAAAAATTGTTTTATTAAAAAAAGTTTAGGGGGACTGGAGTGATAGCACAGCGGGGAGGGCGTTTGCCTTGCACGGGGCTGACCCAGGTTCAATTCCCATCATCCCATATGGTCCCCTGAGCAACGCCAGGAATGATTCCTGAGTGCAGAGCCAGGAGGAACCCCTGAGGGTTGCTGAGTGTGACCCAAAAATTAAAAAAAAAAGTTTAAGTGTTATAGCCTTTGGCTATAATAGAGTAGGTAACAGCAAATATACATTCCAGCTGAGAACTAAAAAAAAAGAAAGCTATTATTAATACAAAAACCTGTTTTAAGGGCTTGAGAACTGCTAGGAAAACCAGGTCTTGAGGAGCTGATTCTGGAGAGTAAGTAATAAAAAGTAGTTAATATTCAGCGGTAGCTTTTTCTCCAGGGCATTAACCAATTCTACACGAATTACAACAGGCTGAGCGAGAAAGGGCCAGAAATCAACAGTTATAGGGAGTCTTAGAAAAGGCAGACAAGGCTTTCAAGATTCCTATTATAAGTTATTTCTCCTGCAAACCAACCAACGGACTTCACTGCCACAATTTTATCTTTTTCAAAAAAACTTACAAGCATAGTTGAAAATACATGAGGAAAAGTAAAGAGCTAATAATAGTCAAGACAATCTTGGAAAAAAAGATTTGCCGGCACTTACACTACATATAAGGTAGTTCAGCATTAACTCAGGCAAACAAACGATGAGAAAAGAGGCAAAAAAATACACCCACAATATAACTATACATATACGTATACACATAATCTAGTGGTTATCACTAGATTTAAAACAAAAGTACACTGTAAGGCAGTGAAGAGAAAATGTGTCAACAAATGGCACTGACTTTGGGGGGTGGGGTGGGGAGGGCATGTTTAGACAACATTGGCTGTGCACAGGGCTCAATTCTCGTGTTTTGAAAGACCATATGTAGTGACCAACCGAACATGGGCCGGCCAGGTGCAAACAAAGCACCTTAATCCTTGTACTATCTCTCTGGCCCTCGGATTATATTTACCAAAAAAAAAAAATAATAATTCCTGATTCCTACTCTTCATACCATGACAAACTCCTACTGGAATATCTATCCAAATGTGAAAAACAATCAAGTTTCCAAAAGAAACCAGAATACTTCAATTACCTTAAATTAGGTGCATTTTGCTTTTAAAAGACAAATTTTAAAAACAGTCATTAGAAATCATAAAATACAAGTAAGAAAGCAAGGGATATACTTCTAGAGACCTCAGAGATGTATTTGGAGCCTCAATTCCGATGGCAATGTGAACAAAAGCAAATACACACAGACAAACAACTAAAAAGCTTTACACAGCAAAAGGAATTAGCACAAAAACAAAAGGCAACCGACAAACTGGAGAAAGATTTGAGTCATACATATAATGGGTTGATATTCAACCTAAAGAACTCACTGAGTGGGGTGCAGAATCTTTGTACATCAGTATCATTAACACTACCATGTCACCTAAACTCTAATTTAAAAAAATTTTGACCACACAACTCAACAAACACCCAATTAAAAAATAGGCAGACTCAAATACTAAAGATGGCAGATGGCCCATGAGCACACTGAAAAAAAAAAAGTTTCCAGGGGCTGGAGCGATAGCACAGCGGGGAGGGCGTTTGCCTTGCACGTGGCCTACCCAGGTTCAATTCCCAGCATCCCATATGGTCCCCTGAGCAACGCCAGGAATGATTCCTGAGTGCAGAGCCAGGAGTGACCCCTGAGCATCGCCAGGTGTGACCTCAAAAGCAAAAAAAAGAAAAAAAGAGCTTCATATCACTTATTCTTATGGAAATAGGAATCAAAACCAGAATGATAAAGGATCTAACTGATTGCAAACTAGTGTTGGCAAGGGTGTGTGTGTGGGGGGAGGGGAATGTACTGTTGTCCACTGTTGGTGGGTATGTAGCTATGTAAACAGGTACAGACCCTGTGGAAACGTTATAATCCCTTATGATGGAACATGTGTTCAAGCAATCCTACTCCGAGGCACTTATCCAAATTATATGAAAGCACAAATTCAAAAATGTTTGCACTTCTATGTCCACATAACATTATTCATAGTATCTAAAACACAAAATCTAAATGTTCATTCATAGATGTTTGAATAAAGAAGCAGTGGGTGCTTACATCCTGGAATTCTATGGTACTCTAAATCAGTAAGATTCTTCTTAAAAATACTAATTTATAAAGATGCTATCTGATTTCATTACAGCATAATTCACAATGGACAAGATATAAAAGCAACCTCCATTATCCTTTAACCCAGGACTAAATAAAAGTTGTGGCAAACATACTCCAGAATTCTTCAGCTATTTAAAAAAGATGAAAATTGCTATTTGTTAAAAATCTGCCATTTGTTAAAGTAATTATGCTAACCAAAATAAGCCTGACAACGGAAGATATACCAAATCATCTCACTAATATGTTACATGCTTAAAAAAAATTAAAAAAAACACAAGTGAACAGAACATAACAAAACAACCTTCAGCCACTGTGCCTCTGGCCCAACCCCAACAACTCAAATTTCCTGAGAAATGAGATGGCCAAAAGTTAGGTATGCGGGAGCCACACCCACACACAAACCACCTCCGGCTCAGCTCTGGAAACCTTGCTTCAGAGACCCACAAATAAATCTCGAAAGAGATCAAAAGCAGTAGTTAATCTCAGACCCTCACAAGGCTGAACAGGCCAGGGTAAACTGAAGCGGGGTGGGTCAGCCTGGGGCTCCCTCACGCAGAGCCCCAGGCAGTCACCTGTTCCCACAATCCAAAATTGCAGTTGGGGGGAGGGGGGGCTGGAGCCATAGCACAGCGGGTAGGGTGTCTGCCTTGCACGCAGCCGCAGCCGACCCGGGTTTGATTCTCAGCATCCCACATGGTCCCCCGAGCACCGCCAGGAATAATTCCTGAGTGCATGAGCCAGGAATAACCCCCTGTGCATCGCCAGGTGTGACCCCAAAAAAAAAGCGAAAAAAAAAAATTGCAGTTGGTAGCTGGACTCCACCATCTCTGGACAGACCTCATGGAGGTATTAACTTGCTGAAAATTCGGATATGCAGGTTTTGTGACTGAAATCTCCAGGCCTTCTCCAGATCGGGATGGGCTACCTCCCCTTACCTCCATGTACTTCCAGAAGCTTTGGCAGTCACGTCCACACCCCAAAGCTGCCACCCAGTTAATAAAGCTACTTGAGCCGCGCCTTCCTGATAAAAATACTGAACGCCCTGAACAAACACCATGACCTCTTAGTACCTGTATTGCCACTCAGAATGCACAAAACAAGAGAAAGAAGAAAGGGCAGGAGGGAGTGCTGAGGAATGTGGGAGAGAAACAGGGGACACTGGTAGCGGGAAATGTCCACTGGTGGAGGGATGGGCACTGGACCACTGTATGACTGAAACCCAATCACAAATAGCTTTGTAATGGTCAATCTCATGGACATTCAGTAAAAATTTTTTTAAAAAAATAAACAAAAAGAAAACTGGAACTGCCTATATCAAGGATAATGCGGGAATTTAACATGATAGCACTCATGAATACCAGCCTAAAAGGTCTGTAAATTAACTTATTTTCAATTCAATAAATGACACAACAGTGCATAAAAATGAAACAAATCCTTAGTTTATGGGAAAGTGACAATTATTTTGGGCTTCATACAGATTTAAAAATATGAGCAATAAATTATACCAACACAAGAACTTAAAGATTTCTATTTATTCACAGACCTCTATCAAAAATTTCTTGGCCACTATTCTTTATCAAGCCTGATACCATGAGTAGGAGGGATAAAAAGATGTGGGCAGGGCCCATGCAACAGCACAGCAAATAGGGCTTGCGTTTGGTCAACCCTGGTTTTGATCTCCAGCATTCTACATGGTCCCCTGAGCACCGCCAGGCTAATTCCCAAGCACAGAGCCACATATAACCCTTGAGCACCACCATGCCACACCAGGGGGATAATGTTTTATACAGCAAACTCTGGGAGTGGATAAACTTTATTTTGGGAAACTTGAGGCTATGGCAGAAGCCTAATGATTTCTACAAGAAAAGGAAAGTATGAAGACTGGACCAACCGTATAGCAGGGAGGGTGCTTGCCCTGCCCACAGTGAGTCCCGGGTTCAATCCTGAGCACTGCCAAGTGCGGCCCCCAAAACAAAAATATTTTTAAAAATTTAAAGAAGGAATACTGGGAGATAGCAGCAGAGTCGGGTTTTCCATGCCTGGGAACCTGACTCAATCCTCAGCTGTGTAATGCACCGCACTCTTGCTGGGGGTCCCTCCAGTGCTCTAGGTGTGGCGCTTGGGGTCTGGCAATCCAAGGCTTGCACAACACTGCAGCTTAAAACCAACAGCAAGCCAGAGGCCAGCTGAACGTCTCCCTAGAAGCCTGCAATACTGGCATTATCTTTTATTTATTTATTTACTTTAAATAGCTCTTCTTAATATTGTTTTCTTTTTTGGGCCATGCCCAGCAGTGCTTAGGCAGGATTCCTGCCCTGCAACTCACGAATTACTCCTGATGACACGCATGTGGGATGCTGAGGACTGAACCCAGGTCAGCCACGGGCAAGGCAAGCACCCTACCCACTATACTACCTCTCCAGCCCCAGCACTGCCATTATCTGAGTAATTCTTTTAAATGAGTGTTTGAGACAGCTTTTTCTAACTAAAAACAAATGATCTGAATACATTTTATGTTCCATTTTATATAAAGAAGTCCAACTTTTATTGGAGTACAAGAAAAGAGAATGGACACAGATTCCTTCCTAAAGTTGTGACTATGTTAAAACAGGTAGACAAAGTCAATTTCTTCATTTTAGAATGAAGCCAATGCTTTTCAAACAAAAGAGCACATGTATTTTTTGTACACATTTCTCCAAATCAATGTTAAACTTCTATTGCATAAGCCATCAGTACACTTACTTCAACTCAAAGTCACGTATGTACAGTGAAGAGAAAAACCATTACCTGATTTGTGGGCATTTTGGGCACATTCACCTTCCACATCTGAGCTTCCCTAGAGATCGCCTTTTCCAACAGGAAAGACAATCTCTGGTTTTCCAAAGGCCCTGGAAACTTCATGATATCCTTTGGATCTGCCTGCTACCCGGCTTGATGTAGCTACCTATAAAATCAAATAAACACAGTGTTCTTTAATTACAGAATAAGTATAGCATTAATATAAATATGTCGGTACTTATTAAGTCATTCATAAAACAAACGAGAATGTTATGAGGCAGTACTGAATTTTATAACTCTTTAAAAATAAAAAATAATGTTAACAGTTATCTAAAACACCTTTCTGAAAAAATACTTAAATGTGACCATATTGCTCTAATTTTTAGCCTCTGATCAAAACTTAACATTATGGCAAGAAATTTAAGTCAAGAGTCATTTACAATTTTTTAAGTCATTTTCATTTCTTTCCTTCTAGAAATTCTTAGTTTTCCCATATATTCCTTTTAAAAGACTAATCAGGTAAGAATCACTAAACTTCCTCATTAAAAAAGCTGTGTTAGGGCTGGACTGATAGACAGTACCACAGATGGGCACCTGCCTTGCATGTGGCCAATCTGGGTTCAATCCCTGGTGCCCTGAGCATAAAATCAGGAATCAGCCCTGAACATCACCCGGTGTGGCCCCAAAACCACACAAAATTAAAACTGAAAGTCGCCAACTCCAGTTCGATTCCCAGCCTTGCCAGGAGTGATCCTGAAAATAAGGAGCATAAAAAAGGCCCTGCAGCAGAGGAAAACTAATTTTCTTTATAGCACTGTCTTTCCATTGTTCATCAATTTTGCTCGAGCGGGCCCAGTGATGTCTCCATTGTGAGACTTGTTGTTACTGTGTTTGGCATATGGAATACGTCACAGGGAGCTTGCCAGGCTTTGCCGTTCGGGCGAGATACTCTCGGTAGCTTGCCGGGCTCTCCGAGAGGGGCGGAGGAATCGAACCCAGGTCAGCCGGGATGGCCATGTGCAAGGCAAATGCCCTAACTGTTGTGCTATCGCTCCAGCCCAATTTTCTTTATAAGCCTCATATAATCACTTCATTATCTTTAATTATGAACAGTATTCTACATATGTTCAGATTAACAGAACTAACAATTTAGGGTCTAAAATTACCACAGAAAAAGTCTAAATTTTTGAAAAAAGTTCCAAATCTATCTAGTCTTTAAATCCAGGTTTCTCTCCAAATCCTGCAACTATGCTTTCTTCTTAAATTTCTTCACCTATTTCCTAATCAATCTAATAGAGACTACATCTGGTTAACTGGATTATGAATTATTTTCTTTTTGAACCTTTATGTCCTTAGGGTTATTTTTGCAAGTTTCCTTAATAAGCATTAAATACTCTTCATTATTAAAAAAAAAGGAACTTACAATGGAAATGAGTATACAAAAAGGCCCATTTCAATGGTAATTTCCACAAATTCTTGCATAGCTAATCTAACCCAGTTGTTCCTCTTCTATTGGGTTTTAATTGGGAGCAGGGCTGCTCAGTATTAAACCCAAGGTCTTATGCATAATTCCTCTCCTTATATATTTGAAGGTTGTCATTAATTTATATAGAACTTAAAACTAAACCCTTTGTTGTTTGGGCTCGTATCCAGTTACTCCTAAGCCCAGTGCTCAAAGATCACCCCTGGTCGTGCCCGAGGGCCCTATGCAGTCCCATGGTTCAAACACAGGTTGGCTGTGTACAACTGGCAAGGGTCTTCACCGAAGTGCCACCCTGGGGATGGAGAGAAGTACAGCGGTAGGGTGCTTGCCTTGCCTGGGGTCGACCCGGTGGTAACAGGGGTTCAACATCCCATTATGTTCCCCACAACCCCACCCCCAGCACTGCCGGAAGTAATTCCTGCGTGCAGAGCCCGAGGAAAATTACTGGAGGGACCAGCGATGGCCTGGACTCCAGCTCCAGCACCACCGAAAGGAAAGAAGGGCGGAGGAGGAGCAGAGTCATCGAAGAGAGTGCTCTGACAGTGAAAATTAAGGAACCAAAGACTACACAACAGTTAACGGAAGAAACAAAGTTAGATCTCTGAAGCGACTGACAACTTGGCGAATTTTTAGACTCAAAAACCATACCCGCCCTCCCCCCACCCCAAAAAACACACCCAAATACTGAAATCAGAAGTAAAGCAGGAAGTACTACCTACGTTCGTTATGGGAATGAAAACAATTATAAAGAAATCTTATGAAATGTAAGCCAGTAAAGCCAGCAACATATGAAACAAATGCCTAGAAACAGAAAACTTTAAGAGCCATATTTTAAAAACTGAATTAGTAAACAAACTATGCTCAAAGGCAAGCTGATGTTCAAATAGCACAATGGTGAATTCTACATTTATAGAAAAATACATATTCTTCACAAACTTCCAAAATGCAAACATCAGCACATCTCAACTCACTTAATGAGCCAATTACTCTGCTACCAAAACCAAACACAGGATTAAAAAAATAACTGGGGGCTGGAGTGATAGCACAGCGGGTAGGGCATTTGCCTGGGACGCGGCTGACCCGGGTTTGATTCCCAGCATCCCATATGGTCCCCCCAGCACCGCCAGGAGTAATTCCTGAGTGCAGAGCCAGGAGTAACACTGGTGTATTGCCAGGTGTGACCCAAAAGGCAAAAATGAATAAATAAATAACTGACCAATATCACTTTTCCTAAAGATACGCAGAATTGCAAAATTCCTCAAAAAATCTGCGCACACTGAAATATATATATTTTTTCTAAATAATAAACTAGTGAGATTTGTCCCGAGTCAATTAACACTAGATACTATATATCCATTTAAAATAAAATCATCCAGAAATCAGTGAAATTCCTGTTTTTATCAGTCAGGAAAAAAATTATTAGCTAATAATAATTATTACTAGACAGGAAAAAATATCCTGCAAAGAAATAATTCTTTGTTCACATCAGAGAAATATAAACAGGAAAAATTCAAGTTACCTAAATTTTTAAAAACTGGGTATAAATGCAGATGACAGAAAATAAGGAAGAATGCCTCTGGAGATATTCCACACTAAATGAGACATACAGAAAAATCATAGTGCCATGTCTGACCTTAGACAGGATCCTTTACTGGAAAAAAATAAAAGGTATAAACAACATTGGATTAAATGACACTGAGAGGAAAGTTGATTAAAGTAAACGTATCAGAGAGAGAGAAAGAAGAGGCTGCCAGGGCAGGTAGGGCGTTTGCCTTGCACGCGGCCAATCCGGGTTGAATTCCCAGCATCCCATATGGTACCGCCAGGAGTAATTCCTGAGTGCAGAGCCAGGAGGTATCCCTGTGCGTTCTGGCCATAGAGGTGGGCGTGGTGGTGGGAAGGAAACTGGGGACATTAGTGGTGGGAAACTACACTAGGAAAGTGTTTGGGAACTGGACCGTGTATGCCTGAAACCCAATCACAAGCAACTCTGTAACTGCCTTGTCTCATGGTGTTTCAACCAAAAATATTAATTTAAAAAATAAATGTTATCAACATTAAATTCACTAAAGTTGATCATTTCACTATGATGTTTGAGAACATTCCTGTTCCTAGGAAACACACCCTCCAAAAACTGAGGAGTAAAGGTCTAGAATCACAGAGGAAGGAAAAATAATGAATAACTAAATCCCCCTATAGGGTTTCTTTTAGAAATTGTTACCAGTGAAACTAAGAATGCAGAGAAACAAGACAATCTATGAAAAAACTATGCTACTAGGGTATTTTTTAAAATCCCTTCTCGTGACTCATACACAGGACAGCGGAGTGTACTGGCTTTGAGTTTTACTACTTTTACTGATAGAGCACGCAAGCCTGTCTTCCAGTGTGTGTTAGAGAATGAGTTACATTGACAACCCTGCTAAGGAGTCAAGCACAAATAAATTTTACCGTTTTAAGTGAACAGAACTCTATAAGGATTTGTAATGTGTTATCTTGTGATTGTTGTTGGTAATATCCAGGATTCTGAATGCTCAGATAAACACACCAGGAGTAAAAACCAAGATTATAAGTATTTAGGTGGGCAAGTTCCACAGACTTCTGATTGTTTTGCATTTCTCCTCTTTCAAACTACCTCTTCAGCTTCTTCCTCCACATTTATCAAGCAGCTTACCATCTGCGGGAAGTTTATACAGTGCTCACTAGGCAGCATAAACTGTATCTGTTTTGTATACAGGTAGTCCTGTTCTCCTGAGGAAAAGTGGTACAGTACACTTTGGGTATACAGCAGAAACAAATTCATTAACATGGAATAGTATTTTCTTCAAAACACCAAGTTTATTAATACTGTGCTGGTGCTGGCTGACTTCTGGATTCTAGTTCCCCTTCTGAACGGAGAGGGAATTCATCATACGATCATACAAAATTCTCATTTATACTGTCACTTCCTTGACTTTATGCCAACATAAAAAAAGAACTACAGGTATTTTGTAATTCCAAACCAAAAAAGGTTTTTTTTTTTTCCTGGAATGAGAGTCTCTACCAACACCCTCCTCTAGTTCATACCCCACCCTTCAACAGGTGTCACTTGCATCAATCTGTGAATAGAACATCTTGCCTTCTCTATCTGTATGTTCAACAGTTGTCACTTGCATCCATCTGTGAACAAAACACCTTGCCTTCTTTATCTGTATGTTCGACAGTTTATCACTTGCATCATCTGTGAATAGAATATCTTCCTTCGCCATCTGTAGGTGGACCCTGTTCAACTCCGTTTCTATGAGATCTCTGATAATTACCTGCAGACCGCCTCATCTCTCTACTAACCCTAGGTTCCTTGAGAGCACACACTCTCCATTAGCTCTCTCTCATCAATAAAACAATAGTACTAGCACCCCCCGTAATAAACTGATACTGTGATTATGACCATTTTAAAGTAAAAACAAGGAGAGAAGTGAATGCTTTTCACTTAAAAGCATATGACAGGGACGAGCGATAATACAGTGGGCAGGGCGTTTGTCTTGCACGCGGATGACAGGGGTTTGATCCCTCGCATCCCATGGGGTACCCGGGCACCCCTAGGAGTGATTCCTGAGTGCAGAGCCAGAGAGTAACCCCTGAGCATCAGCGGGTGTTGCCCCAAACCAAGAACAAAGACTATGACAGGGACCATGGAGAAGCGCTCCAAGGGCTGCTGCATGCGGGACTCCGCGCCCACCAGGAAGGACCCCTCCTGCACACTTCTCCAGGAATCCCAGAGCACCGCCAGGTGTGGTCCCCAACCCCCCAAAACAGAGAAAAACAAAAACGTTATCACAATCAGAACGAAACCTGAACACACACACACACATTTCCGTTCATCCCCACTAGGGCAGCCTCAGAACACACCTGTAACCGCAAATCCTCCTGCACCTTCCCTACGCCCGTGCACCGCTGCCTGCGGGTGTGTACTGAGCGAAGCTCTGGGGCTCTCGGCTCGGGTCCCAGGACCAGCGGCTCTAAATTCCACCCATTCCGCCTTATTCTATGTGTCCATTTCCTCCTTCTGTGCCGAGAGAGCCGAGCAGGCGAGTCAGCCAAGAGCACCCACTGCACTAACTCGGTGCATCCGAAAAGCCAATGCTTTTACAGACAAGAGACTCTAGGGCAAGGGTTCAGAACTTGGTCCCCGGCTTCTGGGTGGGTCCCTTGGAGGGGAGCCCTCCTTAACAGCTTGAGGAGCTTCAGTTTCCCTTGCTCTGGAAAACGAGGCTTCTATTTGCTACCTGGCTCAATGTGAGCGCACTGCTGGCGCGGGGGTTGGGGGGGGAGGGGGGATGTGTGGAGGCGGCAACAAGTGCCCGCTGGCATCAACATTTTAAACTTCCACCACTGCTGCTTCCAACGGGCACCTCCTCAAGTGGCACAAAAGCTCCGCTAACTGCCGGGCGGGACGGCGCTAGCTACTTCGCCTCCTTCCACCCTGCTTCCCGGGGGAGGGGCACCTTGCACGCACTCCCGCGCCCCTTTCGGGGAGCTGTCCGGTGGGGGGGGGGGGGGGGGTTGCAACTCGGCGGGGCCGGGCTTTGCAAAAACCTCGATGCAACTTCAGAACCGCCGCCGCCGCCGCCGCCCCCGAGGACCCGAGGCACCGCGGTGCCCTGCCCACCCCGACGTCGGGGCTGGCTCTGCCCGGCCACGCGCAGGAGGACCGCGCGCCGAGCGGGGCTCCTGCAGGCGCGGTGGGAGGTGGGGGGGGTGGGGGGTGTCCCCTTCTTTGTGTCGCTCGGCGCGGCCGGCTGAGAAGTGCATGGGAGCAGGCTGGTGACCGTGAAAGGGGGTTAACAAAAAAAAGAAAAAGAAAAAAGTTACTCGGGGCCAGAACAAACTGGCTCCAGCGGGTCCCGCGCGCGCGGGGCGAGGGGGCGCGCGGCGCCTGGCACCTGCAGGGGGAGCCTCCCCCCAGCCCCTCACCTTCTCCTCCTCCTCCTCTTCCTCCTCCTCCTCCTCCTCCTCCCCGGCAGAGCTGTAGGCTTCCAAGTGGCGACGCCGGGTCATCCGGGGGGCCCGTTACCACCTCATCTTGCGGGGCGCGCGGCGGCGGGGCGCGCGGGACGAGGCGGGGGCCCGACGGGGAGGGAGAAGAGGGGGGCGCCCGGGGCCGGGAGCGGGAGAGGGAGCTGGCGCTCGGCGGGGGTCGCACGGCCGCCAGCCGGGGCAGCTCAGCGAACTAGTTCCATGATGCCCCCGGACCCGAAGCTGAGGCTGAGGCCGCCGCCGCCGCCGCCACCGCCGCCGCGAGTGCCCGGGTGGGGAGGGGGCTCCCAATCGCCATAGGGCGGCGGGGGCCGGGGAGAGGCGGGGGTGGAGACCGGCTCTGCCCCTGCCCGGGGGAAGCGCCTCCGAGGGGAAATGGTGAGGGGGGGGAAGGGAGAAAAAAAAGAAAAAAAATTAAAAAAGGGGGGGAAGGGGGGGAGAAAATAAGAAAAGGCGAGACACAGGCGCTGCCGCGTCCGCCCGCGGGAAAGGCAGGGGAGGGAGGGGAGGAGCGCAAGAAGCGCCGGCTCCCCGGCTCCGCCCCCGCGGACGGATCCCGACGCGCGCTCGCCCCGGTAAACAACACGGGCCGGCTCTCCCCGCCCCCTTTCCCTCCGCCGGCGTTCCCCCCCCCCAACTCCGACTAAATGGGCCCCCAAAGCTGGGACTAGATGCGCCCCCAAAGCTGGGTCGCTGGAAAGGATTTGGGGGGAGTCTTTGGTATCCAAGGCTGGAAAGAAGATAGGTGTTGTCTCCTGGGCTAAGAAACAGCAAAGGTGCCGGACTTTTTTTTTCTTTTTTTTGGTCAGAGCGCAGCGGCCCGGCCACGGTGACGTAAGCGCCGCCTCGCGGGAGGAGGCGAGCGAGAGCGCGCTGCGCACGCGCGTCGCGGAAGAAAGGCAAGCGCCGAGCGGCAGCAGGCGCTGGTGCCTGCGGGTGGGGTGCTGCGTGCTCGCTCCTCTGCCTGAACCTGGAGCTACCTGGTTTTGTCTCACCTGATTGGTCTCCAGGGGCGGTGCAAGGGTTTGTTAGGAAGGCGGTGCAGATCTGCTGATGCTCAGGGAGCCTACATTCTTTGTTGATTTCGAAAAATGACTTAATAAAAAAAACTCTATATATTCTGTGCTAATGACATTGACGTCTAAATAAAATTGCTGTTCCCTTCCATCCCCACCACCACCACCACCACCACCTCCTCATACCCCGCTGTCACGTTCCAGTGAAGGGAAATTCTCAAGTCCTTTGGAAATTTGGAAGATGACATCCTTAAACACCCCTTTAAAACTTGATACTTTTGGTGCCCGCCTAATTCACCTAGAGATTTCTATGCACTTCACTGACATCTGATCATTTCAGAATAAGTTTTAGTACCAAATCCTTAGTGAGTTGTGATGACACATAAATAAATGTTTGGTGTGGGGTTCTTTTATTCGTCCCTGGTGATGTTTTGATCAATTTCATCTTCAAAAGAATTAAAAGAATGTGTAGTCTTACAGAATATTTTGAAACAGGAAAAGGAAAACCCTTAACCATCTATTTACCGAAGTAGTATTTTTTTCTTTTATATTCCTAACTTTAAAGATCATTAAAACATTTGTGTTGAGCTTACTGTGCAGGTCCGATCCAATGCAGAACCCTGACAAACTGGCGGTAACCTGGTGGAACTAGCGAGCTCTTGCCTTTGTGTAAGTGCAGCCCAAAGGCAGAGGAGCTCCTTGGAGCTAAGTAGCACAGGAAATTTGCCTGGTGATGGATTTCTTATTTTTACTTTGTATTCCTTCGCCAGGCTATCAGGTCTTGGTATATAGTGCACAGGAATCTCAATTTCTTTGTCCTGAAGCAGTAAAAAATAGAAAGCAAGCAGGCCAGAGCAATAGTTACAGCGGGGAGTGCGTTTGCCTTGTCTGCAGCCCACCATGGTTCAATCCCCAGCATCCCATCTGGGACCCCGGCACTGCCAGGAATAATTCCTGAGTGCAGAGCCAGGAGTAACCCCTGAGCAGTGCCGGGTGTGACCCAGAAAAACCGAAACAACAACAAAATACAAAAATAAAATGAAGAAAGAAAAGATAGCAAGGGGCCAGAGATAGAAAGGCTGGAATCAGGAAAGATGAATCGGGAAGGAGAAAAAGAAGGCAAGGAAGCTCCAGGATTATGGGAGGGGTCTCCTTACACAGGATTCCTGAGAATGGCAGAAACCTTTCTCCTTTTATACCTTTTTTTAAAAATTTATTTAAAAGGAGAAAACCGAATTATTTAAGATGTCCAGTTGAAATGCTCCCAGGTGCACATATGCAAACAGATAGATGTTACTACCTGACATTTCAAATCATTACTTCTCAGATGCCCCATCTGTAGTTAATCTACAGAGAGATTTACCAAAAATTTATAAAATCTGTAAGAGGATGTGCTGCATTTGCACACTGTGCATAGTTGAGAGCATTTCATCATATTGACCATTTCAATTCATCACGGTCACGGTCTTCCCGTTGTTCATCGATTTGGATTTGCTCGAGCGGGCCCAGTAACGTCTCCATTGGAGACTTTGTTGTTACTGTTTTTGGCATATCGAGTACATCATGGGTAGCTTGCCAGACTTTGCCGTGCGGGCGAGATACTCTTGGTAGCTTGCCGGGCTCTCCAAGAGGGGCAGAGGAATCGAACTCAAGTCGGCCATGTTGGCTGCGTGCAAGGCAAACGCCTTTCCGCTGTGCTATTGCTCCAGCCCATTTCAATTAACTTTACAAAACACAAATGCCAACAAAAAACCCTTATTCTTAAGGGATAATATGAAATTGTGTATGATATGCACCTTTTACCTGGCTTACTGAGTTCATGACAGTTTTATGCCTTTTTACAAAGGGAGGATGGTGAGCATTTTTCACTGAATTTCAAGTAGGTGGGCTGGTAGAATGGGGTGGGAGGTTGAAATGATTATCTTGTGGCGTGGTCATCCAAGTTATCCGGCACCACCAAGGCCCACCCTCTGACTGTCCCTGCTGATAATTCCTTCTCTTGGGGCTGGACTCCTAACTTTGCCTGGCCTATTTCCTTTGTCTCTTTCAATCTCAGATGACAGGGATATTGCAAGTTTTGTTTATAAGATTTTTTTTAATCTGTCACTGTCCTCCCGTTGTTCATCAATTTGCTCGAGCGGGCCCAGTAACGTCTCCATTGGAGACTTAGTTGTTACTGTGTTTGGCATATCAAATACATCACAGGTAGCTTGCCTGGCTCTCCGAGAGGGGCGGAGGAATCGAACTCAGGTCGGCCATGTTGGCCGCTTGTAAGGCAAACGCCCTACCACTGTGCTATCGCTCCAGCCCATAAGATTTTTTTTAATAGTAAATTGCAATTGTAAGAAATAGAAGGCCTTGGAAATTCCCTGAGAAAATAAGACTATAAAGAAAACATGTTATGCCAGCTTCAGTCAGCTTTTCAGTGACTGAAAAAATAGCACTACTCCTACGTTAAAAAAAAAGTTAATATACATGTATTGTAAGGAATTCCTATTTTTAATTAAAAAAAGGTTTTAGGACTATTTGGCTTTTGTAAAAATAGACTACCATTCAACCATATGTGAGATTAATAATAACTAAGATATACTGGTTACTTACTGTGTCCCAGACTCTGCATTCTCTCATTTTTACACCTCCCCCCACCGCCCTGTAGTTATTTCTGTCATCCTCTTCTCTCAGAAAGATTATCAAAAGAGATAAAGAGGGAAAGTAAATCCCCACAGTTTGAAGAGACAGAGCAGGATTCAAGCCCAGAGACCTTTGTCCTGTCAGCCTCAACCCTTTGCTGACCACTTTGCCCCTGCGGGTGGCTCTTTCTAACTTGCATTACACCTTTGAACAAAAAAAAAACCTCACCTTCTGGTTATTAATCTGAGAACAAAAATCTTAAGCACTTTATTGAGAGTTCAGCTTCCCTTCGATAGGTGTTATTCCATTTTTCTTGAGCTTTTTGTTTGTTTGTTTGTTTTTTCTTTTTGGGTCACACCTTGCAATGCACAGGGGTTACTCCTGGTTCTGCACTCAGGAATTACTCCTGGCAGTGCTCAGGGGACCATATGGGATGCTGGGAATCGAACCCGGGTCAGCTGGGTGCAAGGCAAACGCCCTACCCGCTGTGCTATCTCTCCAGCCCTTCTTGAGCTGGTTTTATTTGGCATATTGAGTCTTGAAATCTGAACATGCCTTGTTTCAAGTGTTAGAGGAGTCGAGTAAGGAGACACCTGGGAGATGGTGTGTCATAATAAAGGCTGTTTTGAGGTGCAAAGCAGGAGAAAGGCAGGCCCTCATCAGCGTCTAGGACAACGGAAGGGAACTGAGTTGACCAAACAAAGTGGTCCGCCCTATTTCGTCTGGCAAGACAAACAGAAACACACTCTTTATATTGTTATGAGTACAGAGGCTATTTAAACTTTTAATGACAGATATTTCTAGTCTCATTTGCCCTAACTGAGAGTTTTAGGGTAATGATCCAAGCAGACAATGAAGATAACTATCTTGTAGGGGAAACACGAAGGCCTACAGGAATAAAGGAAGTGATTTAATGTCATTAGAGTCACTTATTTTTAGCATCTGCCTTGAGTTAAGGATTCTTCCAAAATATCTGTTTTCCTAGTTCTCTATTGAGACAGAACGTAACAAAGTAAACCTTCCAAACTACATGAGGAAAAGAGTCCCTATTCAGCAAATAATATAAAGACCTACTTGTTATTAATGGGAAGGAAGTGTTCAGAGAGAAGGCTTCATTTCTAAAACAGGAAGCCTGAAGATGCTTCCACCAACTCTGAATATAAACTGGCCTTAGGTTTTTCATATTTTGGAATTAATTCAGAACCCCAAACACCTCATCTGACCCCCGGGCACCCTTCCCTGCTAGATACTGGACAGATGCACACTGAAACAGTGCCATCCTGGGTGCAGCTAGAGGGAGCTTTCTGTTTGATTGCTTAAGGAATGTGGCTGCCAGGAAGCACTTTGTGATTTTAATTCTTCAAATGGAGTGACAGGCCAAATAAGTTTGGTCACGGTCACAGTCCTCCTGTTATTCATCAATTTGCTCAAGCAGGCCCAGTAACGTCTCCATTTTGAGACTTGTTGTTACTGTGTTTGGCATATCGAATACGTCACGAGGAGCTTGCCAGGCTTTGCCATGTGGGCGAGATACTCTCGGTAGCTTGCCGAGCTCTCCGAGAGGGCCAAAGGAATCGAACCCGGCTCAGCTGGGCCGGCTGTGCACAAGGGAACCTCTGATTTAGGAATATTTCACCAGGAGAATCATTGGTTGCCCCAAAGTTCAGAGAATACCCACCTATTTGAAATTTGTCAAGCAAAAAGTCTTCAATAAAATATACTTCTATCATTGGGAAAACTCTAATAGAAGTCAACACTAGCTGGAGTGATAGTACAGTGGGTA